ATGGCAACAATCATCCCCATCTTCAAGAAGAGAGGCTGCCCAACTCAGCCAACGAATTATCGTCCAATATCCCTTCTCCCATGCATCGCAAAACTATTTGAAAAACTAGTCGCCAATCAGCTCCAGACATACCTCAGCGCAACAGAGAAAATATGCAGTGAACAATTTGCCTATGTGAAAGACAAATCCGCCACAGACCAGCTGGTTATTCTAACGCAATACAGTATATGGCATGCTACATTGACAAGAAGTCAAATTTCGATTTAGTCTCCCTCGACTTCTGCAAAGCCTTCGACAGAGTAAACCACTCCACTCTCCTTGATCAGATCGGTAGGTTCTCAGACCCCAAAGTCACTGCATGGATACGGAGCTACTTGCAGGACAGACAGATAGCGGTACAAGTTGGGTCATGCACATCGTTACCGAAGATCACCAACTGTGGTGTGCCGCAGGGCTCACATTTATCACCTCTCTTGTTCTTAATCTACATTAATAATTATTAATGACCTACCTACTACCATACCTTCCTGTTTGCGGATGATGTGACTTTACTCCACCCATACGAACACACTCCGTCCAGCCCAGCACTGCAAGCCGATATACATGTACAAGCGTGCCAAACCTGGGCTCGAGGTAGAGGAGGCGAGTTTTCCCCATCGAAAACCTCTGTCATCAGCTATTCCTACAAGTCGGTATCGCCGTCCACAGCTGCAGCATACCAAATAGATGGGGCTCCTCTCAACGGTACCGATGTGCTGAAACATCTGGGAATTCGCTTCACCGCTAATCTGAACTTCCACCAGCATTACATAGATATGAGTGGAAAATTCAAACAGAGAATTACGTTGCTATGTTACATGGCCCAGCGCCTTACTCCCAAAGCCATGATGCTCCTTTACAAGAGCTACGTTCGACCCGTTATAGAGTATGGTGTTGTGGTGTGGGCGTACCGGCTACCTGCTTCTGATTTGTGTGAGCTAGACAAACTCCAAGCAAGATTCATCAGGTCGTACTTGCGACGGCGTAAGTTTCGATTTGCCTAGTAGTAGTAGTAGTAGTAGTATTCTTTTATTCTCCATCGGAAGCCTCAACAGTGATGAGCACAACTCTTAAGAGGGCCGATAACAGGGTAGAGGGGTGTGGGGTGAGAAAAAAAATAATAATAATAATAAGAGATATTTAAACTAAACTAAACTGATACTTGGAACAATAAAGCAGCAGTAAGCAGTAAGCCTTCGACACGCCAAAGCAAGATCTGAACGCATTCGCCAAACTAGAATCACTGCAGTACCGTAGACAATTCATTAGCCTAGTTACATTGCACAAGTTTATTTTCAAATACCGGAACACCTTGGCTCAGTTCAGTTTTAATATTTCCCGTAGTGAGAGACGCCCCAACAAAATTATTCTCCCCAAAGCCTTGACAACATCCAAATCACTTTTTTTATTCAAAACCTCCCTTTTATGGAATTGTCTCCCACCCTCATTGACTTCGGAATCTTCTGTCCATGTATTCAAAAGAGAGCTGCGCAAACATTCTTGTTAGTATTCAGGTCTACTCGCTGGCATGCCGTTACCCAGTTCATCGTAGCCCGCCCCCCCCCCCCCTTCCCAATCTGCCAATCTGTACTCTCTTGTACCATCATCCTTCAATGCGACGGACCCCACGATAGGCGGTCAGCCTTTGGGTCATCCTAATAAAGTTATTATTATTGATCAACCCAAACGCTGTACTGTACTGTACTGTACTGTACTGTACTGTACTGTACTGTACTGTACTGTACTGTACTGTACTGTACTGTACTGTACTGTACTGTACTGTACTGTACTGTACTGTACTGTACTGTACTGTACTGTACTGTACTGTACTGTACTGTACTGTACTGTACTGTACTGTACTGTACTGTACTGTACTGTACTGTAGCTGTACTGTAGGCTAGTTCCTGACACTTCTGCAGCATGGTTTGATTGATATTAAACGCTTGGCTTATTTTGCATAATTACCAATCTTATCAGGCGACAATGCGCTGCTGCAAAACTTCTTTATCCTTGCTATTCTGAGCTTTCCTGTGATATGGCAGCTGTACACAATAATGGTCGTTCACAATACTCTTTTCCAGAGCGATCACGGTGTGGCAATATGCAATCATCACTATACATGTACATGTACACTGTAGCTTGCCAGCCGACACAAGTAGCATTTCGCTCTGGAACTCCTCCGGCGTCTGCTTTGGGCTTATGTTCACTTGCGTACTCTGCCGTTGTGCAACTCGGGTCGTTTTGGCGTCAGTGTAATCTTTGCATGCCCTCTCCATAGACTGCTTTGGCGATGCAGTTGATTCACAGAACAGCCTCAGTCAGCAAGAACTTGCCACTGCTCACCAAAATCCAAAACATCAGCCTCCAAGTCCGATCCATATGGATAGATCACCATTATGTAGAACACAAGCAGCAAAATGCCATTATTTTCCTGCACAACTGCCACAAGCTCCACATAACAAGGTGTAAATAATTCCCGGAAACACTGTGATCGTATTGAGCAGGGCGCGGCGCTTTCCTGGGCTGTAGGATTGCGGAGTGGAAGGTTCGATGGACTTACCACCTGCTCAAGATGGCAGTCAGGTCAAGTAGGCAGCTGCATAGCGGAAGCGCGAGCTGCTAGCATGCTACGTACATGTACATGTACATGATGACGAATAATGGTGGACATGTATACGTACAATCACTTACGGGAAAAGTCTGGTTAAAAAATTGTACACCATAGCTCAGTGGCTAGAGCATCGCTGGCTACAAGCGAGGGTCCCTGGTTCGAGTCCTGGTGGTGACAGTCAATTTTTTCTTCAGACATTTCCCGTTTGTGTCTTTCCCTCAAACCAGTGAACAATCACTTACACTTTATACAGTTACGGTATTAATTATGTACTTGTATTATGAAGCACTCGTTTTAAAAACTCAGTATGTGCAGCTCTGTCATGTACATGTACCATGTGTACTGGAGCTCTCAGGTGTGCTGATCATCGTTAGTTTTTACTAGGGGTGAAACAATTATACCGAATATTCGAATACTCGTTTGGATTTTTCAAATATAATCGTACTCGGAATAAATCAGAGTACTCGCTCATACATGGTACATGCATTTACCACAGAAATCTGCAGTTTCACAGCAGCAGTCGGCAGATATTGATGTGCAGACTGTGTGGTTAACATTTGTTCACCAGTAGAGAGAGCCCAAATGACCCACCAATCAATACACTCGAGAAAAGGACTGCCGATTGGTTCAATCAGGGTTGTATCATGTGATTATTAAGGCCCTTGGTGTGCGATTTTTTAGGATATCAAGAATACTCGAATACTCGAATATTCGATCGGAGAAAATCAGAGTACTCGAACTCGGGATCTCAGTGCCAACTTTCACCCCTAGTTTTTACTTAGGCTTGTCTTCAGTCGATCACGGCTTGTCCATCAAAGCACGACCTGGCTGGACCTTCGCCTATGGGCAGCTGGTGCGCAGTAGCCCAGACTACCGGCTAGACGTGTATTACAGCGGTGTTGTGACTGGATGTCCCAATGAAACACTGACTATGTGACTACATTGTATGTGAACGCGTTGCCCGGCCCGGTCTTGCCCTCTATTGTCTCAACCCCCCCCCCCCTCTCTCTCTCTCTCTCTCTCTCTCTCTCTCTCTCTCTCTCTCTCTCTCTCTCTCTCTCTCTTTCTCTTCCTATTCTCTCTGAGCTTACGATGCTTCTTCCTATTTTAAACTTTGCCCTACCTCAATTAATGGAAAAGTGCACTAAAAGTTGCCAATGTCTTTATTCAGAAAGCAACATTGTCTGGTCACGTCCTGCAATATGCGGGACATGACCCGAATACCACTGAGAAGTACCACAATATTTTAGATGTAGACTGTCATAATGACATTTCCAAGAAGAGTACTGCATGGTGTCCGCTGTTCAGCGTTCATCCAGTTTTACCGAGACTGCATGCAGTAGGCAAGAGTAGAGCGCTGTACTCCTTTGTGCAGCCTGTAGAGTGTTACTGTTAGTTTTGAACGAGGACCTACCTGTACTGTAGGCCGAGACGGCGTAAGTGTAGCAGTATTGCAGAAGAGTAGAGCAGGTAACTGGTTTGGCTGCTGTTACTAAGTATTTTTTTCTTTACATAGTGCTCTCTCTCTCGAGTGGTGATGAATGCCTTGGTGTGCGTTGGTCGCGCTTTCATCACCCTTGGATAGATGAAATGTGCGCGCGCAGCGCCCGCGGTGCAGTTACTGACCTTCGGGTGCGGATTGACGACCACTGCGAAGTGCACAGCAGAGCCGACGGCGCGCACGGCGAATGGGCGACACTTCGGGGACAGCGCTCAAGCGACCACAGGTGCGCGAGAAGAGGAGCGCGCTGAGAGTGCTAGTGACTGTGAGAGAGCGCCATGGCCGCTGTGTTAGTACACACAGACAGACACACACAACACACGCAGGCACACGCGGACGGACACAGTAGACACCTGGGACTGAGTTGAGATGCAACACGACCACCGTCGTATCATGCCTCACCCCCAGCCAACTCTAGTGCGTTGGTCTACAAAGCCAGCGTACACACTCCGCCACACACCCATCTCATGGATAGCTGAACATGATCACGGAACGGGCAGGGTACGATCGGACAAACAACACTAGGACAAGAAGAAGACAGTTGCTGATTTCGGCAGCAAGCCAGTAGTGGCAAAGAGTCGCAAAACCTATCCCAGGAAAGTTCCAGTGACCAATTCTCCATGCAGAGTAGTATAGCCAAGCACATCTAACACCCAGTTTGAGTAGGAGAGAACCGACGGAGCCTTGTTGATTTCGGTTGAGGGTTTCGGTATGCATCGCAAGGACTTCCGGACGTTAGCATCGTAGGCGTGTCGAAGAACCACAGTGGCCAGTGGAAAGAACTAGAGTTACTTGCATTGGTCAGTCCTAGTGTAGCAGCCCTGCTGGAAGTTCCTGGTACATGCGTAAGGTGACGTGAGAAAAGTGTATTGCAGTGCAGACTCATATGATCATGGCACCCTTTGGTCGACTAGCCCTGCAATATCTTGCAATGCTAGTCTTGGTGTACAGCCTGCAAGCAGTTTGTAATGCTCAGGCGACTAGAACCATGGTAGAAGACCAGCAAGGTCAACTGAATGCTGCCCTAGAGGGGCAGATGGTGGATGGCAGAACTGACCAGCTCCAGTCACTATCAGGTTCTGAGAGATATAGTGACAGCGCCATGTCATATTTGAACCGCACTAATTCGTCCGGCCCCAGAGACGGTAGCCAGGAGTCGCGGTGGAAAGCTGTGCCCGATTATGTGCGGCATCTGTACGATTCCATTGCGGACGATCGCGGTTTTGTTATCAACGCAAATAGTCGTCTGGTGCAGAACTCTACGGCCATCTGGACATTTCCTAACAAGCTGAAAGGTAAGAGATGAGTGTCAGCATTGGAAGAAAGTGCATCTTCTCCCCTCCGCCATCTTGCCAAACTGAAAAATGGGCCTCTACCAGGGAGTCCTCAAGTATTTGACGACTCCCTGGCCTGTACTAGGCTGTAGTCATCCTGGAACGCCAGGATGACTACAGGATACAGATTTACCAAGTAGCTAGGCATAGTGCATTTATGCTGATGATAATTAAACCGCTAAGCAGGAAGGATGCGAAGAGAAGCAGTAAATTCAGGTTGATGTTCAGATCATTAATTACGCAAGGCTCTGATTGGGTTTGTCAGGTCTCTGCTATGGCCTGTGCGGACTACGGCCAGAGAACTTGAAGCCCCGACTAAAGAGAAGCAACATGCAATGGCTTGATCTCGTGAGGATGGGGGATGAAGCATACATATAAGAATGGACGATTGAGCTGGGAAGGTTACATGTAAAAAAAAGCAAAGTTCGCATGGTCGCGCTACCATCCTGCTGTACAATTGTGTTGAGAAACCTTGACAGTGCAGTAAATTAAATTTAGGAAATGGATGGAGTATGTAACGCCTTGTCTGTATGTACAACGCAACTCTGGAAGACGGGCGGGGACATGGCAAGATGGAGTGTTCCAAATGCAAAGTACGCAAATCAGCGGAAGCACTAACGCGATTTCACATCCTGGACACTTGAAGTAACTTTAGTTGCGTGATGATCTTGTTATGCTTTGGATGATGTGTGTGTGTGGTGGAATGGTGGAGAGTCGAGAGCAAAGCTCAAGACACTTCCAGATACATTTGTGTGTTTGCCTCTTCTTGGCCGTGGTGGCGCTCCCTCTCCAACGTTTGTGTCTCCGTTTATACAGTACGCCTTCCAACGTCACTTGCACAACAATAATTATTATTCCGTACCGTACTGCCATGTAATCGAAGTACAGAGTCAGTACATGTAGTGGAAACTAACTTAGTCAGTGGAAAGACGTAGCCGTGCAGGCAGCGGACTGCTGCTCCTCCTGTGTTCCCCGCAGGTGTTCACCCTATATACATGTACAGTGCCAGTGGTGATGACATGAAATGGACCTTTATCATACATGTAGATGGTGTTCAATCGTCTGTTGCAGTCGAGTCGCGCAGAAATGTCAAGATTAAAACGGGACGTGTATTTCATGGGGCGCGTGGCGTGTTTCTTGCTTTGTGCGACCTCCCAACGTGTCTGGTGATTGTGGCGAGATCAATTCATGTGCATGTTGTGTTGGGCATCTAAATCCGGTGTGTGTCGCCCTAGCGCTCTGCTCATTCATGGCAGGACCACGACTCACACACACACGTCAGTCCGGAGTCGAGTAGCGAATGGTCTACGTTTCGCCGCGATACGCAGCACGTTAAACGTTGGAAGTACATGCAGTTGATAGATTCGGAACCATCAGGCGTTTTTGTCATTGACACATCGCCAAAATCATCAGCAACGTGGGTATGAGTTTAGAAGCTGTTTTCAGGTTCAACCCTGGGAAAGACAAAGTGCTGAATTTAAACTTACATCAAGGATAGTGACGTGTTGTGCACGAAGTTTCATCACGAGTCATACTTGTAAAATATATGTACAATGTCATGTACATGCAAACATGGACATGATTGTATGGATCTAGATAATTAAACCGCCAGAGGGACTCTCGCCAAGTCTTGACTCTTGGTTAGTAAGTATTTTTTTAGTAAACTAGTTGGTAGCATGCATGCCGATTCAGATCCCTCGCGGGGGGATTGTTGGCGATGGACATCACGTCGATCGCTCACTCAGGCCGTTCCACTGGTCCCAATCCTCTTCAACAGTGCACCTCACTCCAGTTATAGCACGAGCATAATATTATACCCGTTATCTTGGTACATGTACGTATTATAAACGTTGTTTAAAATACATGTACGTGATGATTGTAATCTTTGGTTTTTAGAAGGAGAGTGCTGTGGGGCGATATGCATACAGTACGAGATGAAGCCACAAACTGCGGCTTACCCGCTTCTATTGCTCTTCGTGACATGCATTCTTGTTTCACATTCAAGGGGCACATTTTTTTGGAAAATGTCCTTGGCGTGAACTGCGCAATGTGAATATGTGAATAATTATATCCTAAGAGTAAGAGTCGATTGCATGCAGGAATGCTGATCTGCACGAAAGTGCGGGTGCTGCCCTGATCGTACATGTACATGTACGTGTTTCATGCAAGAACCCTTGGCAGCTATCCAAGGCAACGTGTACATGATTGTACTGTAATGCACAATGTGCAGTGGTTTTGTGGCTTGTACTTGTAGCCTTCGGGGCGCTTATATTATACAGCTCCACATCAATCAGAGCAGGTCGTGCTATTGTTTAACCCTAACAAAAACTTCTGGCATGGTCACGAATACTGCATATCTGCGGTATGTTGCATTGTGTTGAGTTTGAGAAAGTACATGATCGTATACTCATTGATGCTGAACTGAAGGAATGACCAGGTGCATACCAAACTGTTTACAACAGGATCTACAGCCACCAGACATCTCGTGGCCTTTTGGATACCATGGATACAGTATGCAGGGCCTGAGGCACGGTTCACTGTCGACAGACCAGCCAGTGCACGGTATGCAGAATTCTTTGTCTTTCAAGATCACCAAAATACAACGGTGTGTACTGCTACTGTAGTGAAGTTTTGAAGTTCGTGGTACGGAATGTTTTCGGAATGACCTCGAATCAAGTAGCGAGTATAAATGGTTTTTTTTTTTTTTTTTTACTATTATTCACAAACCCAACTCGTAAAATAAATAATTAATTATGTGGACAAAAGCTTAGGAGCGTTTTTCCTACGTAGTTGTTTGTTCGCCGTCCATTTGGCATCAGTGAATCGCGCATGTACATGAATTATACATGTACATGTAGTCATTGTACATGTACATGTACATACAGAATCTCTGTGGTTCCCTGTCGACATGTTTGGTAGAAATGACGTGTAGACTAGTACTCGTAGCGTACTACTAACTATGCACTGTACATTGAGTATTTCGCTCCTGCTCTTGTAGCAGTTGAGCACTCTTGCGTGGGGTAGTGCCTTTGCTGTTTGCGTTATGCAGAGCTCACTGACTTGTCAGTTTGAGCACTCTGGCAAGGTACGTTCGGGCCTGATTGGAAATTTTTATTTCCATTGCTATCAGGTTCGGCCTCATTTTCTCTGTGCTGCGCTGATGAGTTCAAAAAGAACGAAACAGCATGCTGTCCGCAGATTGAGTATGCACTGTACATGTAGTATCAAGGCGTTAGTCGTGTCCCTGGTGATGTACACGCCATGGTACAGTCTGGACAAGTGCCGCAAACGCACCTCAGGCACTGTTGGCGTTACCCACGAACAAAAACGTGAGAGAGATAGTTGGTACAACTGTGACAATGACACACGGACTGGTCTACTTCATGGTGTTAGTACTGTTACCACTATTCTTTAATACCACTTGCTGGTCACCCTCTGGTCATAAGGTAATCCGGAAATTATAAAAAAAGTAGAATCATTTGGTTTGGGATCCTTTTCTACATGATTGTAATGTTACATTGTATGTGTCTTTTTGTTTGTGTCACAGTGAACTTGCATGCACATGTAGGTCTTCAGAAAACAGTAGCGTTAGCATTATCATTGTGTACGAACATAAAGCACCACAGCCTTCCGTCCTGTGCCATGCCACGGTGGCTGTGATTGCTTGCAATAACATCCGCCCGCACACAGGTACATGTACCAACACCAAATTCTCCACCCAATCAATCGCGTTCCGCTGCCAAAAATATCTGTTCGTCGAAGAACAGTGTAATTCTGTAGGTGCGGCTTTCTGATTCGTAACATACACTTTGAAGTGCAATTATGTACATGTATAATTATGGACAAACACAAAGAAACGTGATCCACACAGTCAAGTACGGTAAAGCCCATTTAGTAACCGAACTTTTTCGTTCCCTTCTCATCATGGGCGAAAAGCACAGGGAACAATGCGAAAATGTCAAAATATTGGCTTTACTGGACTGTGTGGATTGCGTCGGTGCTGACACTTTTTTCCGAAATAATTGGATACTTCTCCAATGTTTTCCTTAAAACAAACATGATTGACGAATACATGTAATAGAAAACATGAATATTGACAGGTTTTACTGTAAATCCCACTGCTCATGACATGATTCTTCCACCCTTTCTGAGTAGAGGCTTTGTCCCTGACTTTGTCATCAGCACTCACCGGTGCACCACTAATAACGTGTGACTTCATACTTGTACATGTACATGACATCATCGGACTGATTAACAGTGATTGTGCGTGTACGAGACACAGTCTGATAAAAAATGTACTGCCACTAGAACTAGTAGTACTACTACTACTACTAGTAGTATTGTTGTCCTCTTTTGTTTGCATTCACCTGGCGAGAAAGCAGTGTGAGGCGGTACTTGTAGAATGTTCAGTTGTCAAGAGACTGCTTGGCTCAGGCTGATTTTGACTGGGTTGTTGTTGTTGTTGCTATTGCTGTTGTTGTCTGCGTGATATCAATGTCCGGTCACTATTAATACCACTGTCACAGTGGTAGCACCCCTACATGTACTAGTCCTAGCACCGAGGGTTTTCCATGATGTGTAAGAGTTCGATCTACATTCTCATCGACAATCACCATCTACAGTGTACACAATAACAGTCCAATACAATACATGTACATGTACATGTACATGTAGGTCGTGGCGATCACGATGCTGCACGCTCTTGTGCAACGTTGCGGCTTTGTTGTTCCGCCATTATGTCGAAGAGAGCTGTTGGCTAAACACGCAACCCCACCAGGCCCGGGGGGCCTACCGTCCAAGTTCCGAGGGAGCTAATCCTAGTTGTGAGGGTGCTACTCTAAGTTCTTGTTCAAGTGCTGCACCTTATCAGATCACAAGTGCAATCGGACATTGTGTGATTTGTGGGGCTCGAACACTTGATGGATTCCCCCTGGCTGAAGCCATTCACTAGCTCCAGTCACTCCTAGCTGGATGATGTTGCTGCAGTGGTACATCATGTAGCACAGTCTCTGCTTCTACACTCGTTGCAACTATAATGATGCCCATGTATAGCGCAGTGCCGTGACCCAGGAGGAAATCGGCGCAGGGGAATGTGGCGAAGACTCGGAAAAGCCCATGCAGCAAGTGCCGCTGGAATTCTGATTGTATTTATAGACAATCAGATGAAGAATGCGCTGGGCACATGTATCGAAGAAACCTACATTTATCTGAGCCTCTGACTCGGAGTCCGAGTTCCGCACAAGCATGCCCTTTAGTAAGTGCGTGTCATTACCAATTAGCTGTCGCATTATTGTACAAACCTCAACAGTGTCAACACGATCACAGACAACAACAGTTCAACACCGTCAGTGTCCGGGCATCTTCCCAACCACTCTGCTCCCCTATATAATCCTGTTCTATTTCGGTACTCACGAGTTGCTCAGTTAGCACAAACAAGGGCTGCAGGCGGCACTCAGTCGGAGCTGGGATCGTTTGTACTGGGAGAGTATATTTTCACGAATAGTAGAGCGATAGTGTGGCCATCTCCAGTAAGCACTGCTGGACCGCCTCAGCCTGGTGATGATGACAGAAACAGCTATATACTGTGTGTATTTAAAAGCGTTAGTGCAGTGCGCTCGGATATACAGTACATCGGCTATGAAGTACAGATTGTTAGTACTTACGGCCCTTGGAGGTGCATGAGACTGAAGTTAAAATTTACTAAGTAAGTTAGTTCACTAGCAAGTGGTATTTTGTGCACTTATCACGGTGTACTAGCATCATGTTCACGTGACGTGCACCTTTTTGCACTCCATGGCTGCAGGGTGTGTCATTAATTCTGCTGAACTTAAAGTAACAGTTATCTATGCCTCCTAGCAATTGTAAAGTTCAACTCTTGGAGTTTGAACTCACACATTGCATGACAGGACCGGAAAGTCTCTTTAAGACTGGGCGGTAACAGTTTGTCCCCAGAACCTGGGCCTGCGGGTTGCTGGCTTCACAGCCAGTTTTCAAACGACCCCTGCCAAGAATGTCTGCTACCAGGGACACTGACTGTACAAACTGCTACAACCACGGTACAATAGTTTCACTTTGTGAGGATGAACCGTGTTATGCAGGAGTGGTTGAGAGCCTGGGGAAGTGTGCGTGGGTCTGGTATGGCATGTTGGATCAGCCTGCTCTATTTCTAGCACGATAGTATTGTGTGGCCTAGGGCCTTGAGTTGACCCATACCCCTTCTGTTCATGCAGCAGGTGGCAAGGTGGGAGACACACTGCGTGTCACTGTGTAATCTCAATGTGTGTCGCCCACCTTGTCACGTGTCGTTGTCCTCAAACATGTGTATTCCAGTGTGCTGGACGCCCCACTTATGGCAAGTTAGAGGGGAGGGGACTTGTGCAGGGTGAGAGGGCTAAGATTACGTCGGCTTCCTGACCAGCTTACCGAGAGCTTCATGCAGCTGTGAAGAGTTGCACCCCAGTCGCTCTCTCTCTCTCTCTCTCTCTCTCTCTCTCTCTCTCTCTCTCTCTCTCTCTCTCTCTCTCTCTCTCTCTCTCTCTCTCTCTCTCTCTCTCTCTCTCTCTCTCTCTCTCTCTCTCTCTCTCTCTCTCTCTCTCTCTCTCTCTCTCTCTCTCGCTCGCTCTCTCTCTCTGTGTGCTCGGTACTAGTGCCAGAAGTAGGGTTGTAGAAAGACTTCTGCGTAAGGGACTACAGCAGCAATGATCGACTCCGACAAACTGATGTTTACTCCAGTGCTTATTTTCGTTTCGGTTCTTTTCTACACCACCCTTGGGACAGAGTCGAACTCCTGTATAAGAAGGCCAAAAGCCAGTTTTATACGCCAGCGTAACTTTTAAATGATACTCCGATGGTGAGCCACGGAAAATATTGTGGACATAAGGAAAATGGTGGGGCACACGTTATGTGTTTGAACAGTCAGACTTGTGCCCCACCGTTTTCCTCGTTTCCATTTACGGCGAAACGATCGTCGTGTGATACTCTACATGGTATTGTAGTTAGTTTGTCCATCATACTTCATACTTCATATTCCTTAACCAAGTATAGTACTGTAGGATATCGGCATTCGGTTTGTTACAATTCGTCCTCGTGAAACCGTACTTCCCTTTCATGTCTTATCATTGATGAAACTGGGCCTCCCAAGTTGGGTGGTTGTTGCTTTGCGTTGTCGAGCTATGGTTAGACCGTATTGTCAAAATGGTCTTACCGTCCCGTTATCGTACAAAGCCAGTATTCCACTGTGCCTCGGAATGCAACTTGTGTTCGACTTGATCGCGCTTACCTTCCCCTCTTCGGGATTATCAATAATATCCATGAACCTTCCAAATTGGAAGGCCATTAGTTAGCGCCGCTATCGAGCAGCGCTCAAGCTCACGTCCTTGCAGTGTAATGTCTCAGTACTCCTGGCCAGTCTGGTGCTACCTTGTGCACGTCTGACTGTTCAAAACATGGTTTAGTTGGTGGACTCTTCTGTCTCGAATGAATTGATTTCCTGAATGCTTTGTTCTTCATTGGTGATTTCTCTTGTCTCCCTTGCCTGCTGCACAGGTCGTGACCAGGAGTTCACTCATCGCCTCTCATTCACCATGCACGCCCTCTTTCAGCCCAAGAAGCCGGCCGAAGCGCAGCCCGAAGTAGAGAGCGCCTTCCTGCGGCTCTACCGCAAGCCGCTCACCGCATCAGGCACAGGGGGCCAGCGCGGGGCCAGGCGGCGACGTGGCGCGGGCACGCCCGCCGGTGGTGGGGATCGTGTACGCGTCACAGTCAGTTATCATGCTACGCGACGTTCGCCGGCCTCACCGGTGAAGCGCGTCACAATGCTGCAGGACAAGCACGGCTGGGAGACGGTCGACCTGACCGAGTTTCTCCGATCGCTGCAGAACAGGACACGACGACGCCGCCGCCTCAGCTTGAGTGTAGAGATTGAGAGCATTGGAATGAGGCGAAGTAACGTAAATTCACCCAGTGCATCTGGTGAATCATCCTACCATGCCAGAGACATGTTTGATCTGAGCAGCAAGGACCCCAGCACCATGCCTCTCCTCACTGTATTCCTGAAGAACAAAACTGGTCAGATAGAAGAGCTCATGCCCTTCTTCAGTGCCATGACTCAGCGGAGACTCAAGCGCAGCTCGCTGGACAGAAGACAGTCGCGACGTCCAACTCGGCGTCGCTACCGCGGTTACTGCCAGATGCAGGAGATGGAGATCGACTTCGCCGACGACCTTAAGTGGAAGGAGATCCTGACGCCGCGCCTCATCCGGCCCAACGACTGCGTGGGCAGTTGCGCAATACCGGTTGGCGAGGTGAAGAACAACGGCGTGCTGCGTCACTGGTACTGGGAGACGTCCACTAAGGAAGAGGTGTCGCCGCTCAGCTGCATCCCGACACGGTTTGCATCGGTGACCATGCTGTCATACGTGGATGGCGTGTATGAGGTGCTGCCTTTCAAGGACATGGTGGCCGTCGAGTGTGGATGCGCATGATCTTCTGCCGGCGAGTCATAATATTATGACCTCACTCAATACAGAGTGTTGTATGTCGCTGGGCCTGGCGAAGTAGGCCAGAAATAATAGATGTCACGACTCACACAATAACAGCAACAGATGCAGCTATGTTGCTTGGCCAGTTGGCACAAACAGTGGACGGGGAGCTGCTGCCCTGGCGTGCGCCAGATCAGACCCATTCTCCGCCTTTTTTTTCTTTCAATTGAGACTAATGTACTTTCTTATATCTTGCTCATACTTATTGTTCAGTTAGTTCCCATAATGGCATGCAGCATGCACGGTATGATCTGTGCTGGCCATTTCACTAGCCGTGAAACAAGAATGAGTACTGTACTGGTTTGTACACACATTAATTTAGTAGAACAAAACAATATGCCATGATTGTAGCCTTCAACACCAATGATATAATAATTATCATAGCTTGCGGCTTGTAGCGGATCCTGTTTCCCTACTGAGAGATTTACTTATTATTCTAGTAACACCTATGGGAGGAAGCATGGGCACAGGAAACATTGTAACTGGTAATCACAAACTCCATTGGAGCAATAACGCTTGCTGAATACTGAAATACATTCATAATAATTATACACAATGCCATGTACAGCATCTGCCTAACTCGAGCTCTATAAGTATTACTGTCTGCAGAATCCAAGGTACTATCATGATGATTATTTCAAACAACTGGACAGGACAAATAGAGTAACCATCCCTGCTCAAAAGCACTGTGCACATTGTACAGATGTACGAAGCAAAATGCTGTGCAGAGCCCACCACCCGCCTCAAGACACGCACATCCACACACACACAGACACACACACACACACACATGCACACACATACACACACGCACACACATGCACACACAGACACACATGCTCCATAGATCACTGCATAAATCCTGCGACTGCAATCTCACAGGCGGACGGAAAACCATGTCCTCAGACTCCTGGCACTAGAGAAAGTAGTGAACAACTACAGCATAATTACAGCACAAGGTGGCATATGTACAGGCAGAACTCTCAACAGCAACGGTATGCGATGCTCATTGCGCACAGATCCCATAAAACTGTTGCTGCATGCGAGAGAACGATACAAGAAGTTAGCACAGCAGCTGGGGTGGCCAACAGCCAGACAACGGACAGCGACATGAGAAGAAGAAGAAAAAACTGGCCGAGCGAAAGTCACCCGTTCACAGATCCTCCGCGGCAGCAAAGCGCAGAGACAAGATCCGACAGTGCCGACATTCAAACGTCACGTACCCGTGGGCGACAAGCACCAGTGATGCGAATATGACAATATGTACATGTGCTCACAGTCTGCAATTCAAAAATAGCACGGATGTTAGAGAAATAACTCAAATGAAAAGAAGAAGAAAAAGCGCTCAACTCCGAAGTTTATCTCTGCATCAATAAGACGTTGGCAAATATGCCAATGTTAGGCAGCCATACTATCGGCCCAGCGAGGCGATTGGCCGGGTCAGAGGACTGCGTCATGGCAACGAGGGGTGAGCGTCCAAATACGCTGAGAACCAGCAGTGGCGGGTGATGATGTCACACTCTGAACTCCGACATAGCCGGCCGGGACCACGAGGAGGAAACATCGGAGCGCATTGGAGAGCTCACAGCCGGAGGGGTATTCTGTGCGTGCCATGCATTCACGAGTGTCAAGCAGCACTTACATGCACCTCTCCCTGGTCACAGCTCAAGAAAACTAGCGTTGGTGCAAAACCAGCATCAGCAGCAGCAGCACGTTCCCTACTCCACACACTTGTAGCTGACCCGTCCGTCCACACGATGGTAGCCAGTGTCAAAGTCTCTCAGCGCCACGTCCTGGCCACCCTCGATAAGCCGCTCGTCTGTCAGTCTCATGCTGGCCGGCCGCTCGGCGTCCTTTGCCGTGTAAAACAGCAGGTCAAAATCACCTGGCAGAGTAGACAGGGAAAGAATAAACAAAATATAACAGCATCAGCAGGCAGGCAGAACATGGGTAGCAGTAGTGACACCAGCAGCAGCAGCAGCAGTAGTGACAGCAGCAGCAGCAACAGTAGCACCACCACCACCAGCAGCAGTAGTATTGGCGGCGGCGGACGCGGCAACAGGATTACCACCTTTAGCAACAGCAGTATGAGGAGGGAGAGGGAAGCCACGGGAATGTTCCCATGAAAAGTCAACATTCACATGACTAGTATAGTAAATGGTGGTAAACAAGGTTTCGGACCCCCTACGGTCAATACGGTATTGACCGTAGGGGGTCCGACACCCTACGGTCAATACGGTATTGACCGTACCACTGTTTGTCCCAGATACCCAGTGAATCAATCAAATACACTGATTTGGGCCCTAAATTTCTACAAATTTCAGAGGAGCTATCTCAGCCCCATGAGCAACAATGATTGTAATTCAGGTGGCTGACTGTACAACCCTTTAAAAGTACTTTCCGACGGCCTTGCGAAATGAACGTAAATACACGTCTGCCCGCACAATGCTTTCTGAGTTGCAAAGTTCTAGCAAAGAGAACTCCTTCTCTTCTTATCGCTACCATCAGTCCACGCTGCGCTTCAACAAACCATTCACAGGAACCTCCATGTTTGCTTCCAACAGCCAAGCCACGATCAAACACACGCGCCCAACTGATGGCTGTGGCTCTAGAACTCAACACAAACCTAATACTAAACACTCTCAACTCTCAAACCTTCACACTGCGCAGCACACGTCAAGCGGAAGCCCCATACAACGGGCGCCAAACTCAGTTTTTAGCTACTAGGAAACCCCCACTATAGAAGGCAGGGATCTTAGCCAGCAAGCTCGCCTCGCCGACTGTCCGCCAGATACAAATGCAGTACTCTAATTTCAGAAATTTTAGGTGCTCACTATTTTCGGTATGACGGCAAAAGGCCAGGTTGGGTGAACAGAAAATTTAGGTACAGAGAAGCAGTTCCCTCTTGGATTATGCGTGTTAGCGTTTGTTCGGTGTAATGAAATTTTAGGTATGAAAGTGCCGAAAATAAAAGTACTTCAGTACACCGGAAATTTGTGAAATTACAGTATTCTAACAGGGGTGGCGGAACCGGTCCGCTTGGTCAGGCCATGGCTTAAAAGCACTCGATGCTGGGCCCATCCATTCAGCAGTTTACCTGTCCGGCCAGTGCTGACACCTACAGCACAGTGCACTGTATGGGGGGGGGGGGGGGGGGGGAAGGGTTATGTACACCGGGCACGCAATGGCAACCATAGTACAATACACAGTATGGGGGGGGGGGGTAGGTTATGTACGGTACACCGGGTATGCTAGCACGTGGAATTTCAACAGTGATTATGTTTCGCACTACGTGAACGCACGAGTCTATTCCGTGTGGTGTGAAGTTTAATTAGGCCAAAACAAATAATGACCTTGTTTCCGGTCGGCCGACCGGGCCACTTTTTCCCAAATTCTGAAACTTTTTTTGGTCCCAAATGTATACAAACGGTGGCAATGCCATGTGTGCAAGTGCAGTCAACAAGTCATAACTCAGTCAAATCTCAACCGAATTCCACAATCGAAACACCTACAAGGTAGCAGAGATTCTCAGCTGTCGGCTCGAAAACCTCCGGGGTCGATACGAGCTAGAATAACGGAGCTGGAAGGACTCGAACTGTTTGCTTGATTTCTCAGGAAGTACGAAAACAGGAATACACCACATGCTGTACAAGAACAGTGAGTCAGTCAACTTGGACATTGATCCTTGCCATGATATATGTACAATGTACATGTGTAGGTGCTCTTGTCCATCAATACCACAACGATTGAGGAACCAAAAAAAGTATCCAAAAAAGTTTCATTCCGGCCGACCGAGTCTCCTTTTTGAGGGGTTGCCGACCGGAAACAAGCCTATTTTTGTTTTTGCCTTATGGAAAATTCAGAATACTTGGTACAGAGTATGAAGTCGTCCGAAAGCAATTCCGTACAGAGATTACACGCTACACAGTGTCCATAATGGCAGTCAGAGAGCATACGCGTTTGGCTCTTTGCTTTGCTGGCTGCTATCGCGTACGTTAACACCTCCGCAGTGTTTACAGGGTGTTACGGGACAAAGAGGGCACACGGGCGTCAGCTTCACCAGGCAATCAACTGCCTAGGAAATATGGTCACGTGGTATACAAGTGAACAAAGCAGACCCGAGCACTATTATAATAGAGTGGTTTCTCATCCTTGTCATGTGACTAAATCTGTGCAAAAAGTGATCATGTCATGTGGACAGCGGAACCAACCGGTCCAACACGACCGACATCACGTGACCCATAGATGCAGGGGTTGAATGGAGTTGGAATCAAAATGGCTGTTCCGTATGGTCATGTGATAAATGTCAAAACCACTCCATACCGCAGAATGAGAATACTGCACAGAGTGCTATACAATATGCCGGTGCCATTTTCACATACACGCCAGCGCCCACGACCTATTGTCTCAATTGAGACTATGATTTGCTGCAACCTCATTCCATACAAACAAACAGTGTCAGCGGCCAAGCTTACATTTCGATTCGATGACCGGCAGAAAGGTGACAGAGCTGACGATCTGCCGAATGACATTGCGAATACTCTCTTGAATTTTCTTCAGTGGCGGTGCAGTCCTGCAGAGAGAGAGAGAGAGAGAGAGAGAGAGAGAGAGAGAGAGAGAGAGAGAGAGAGAGAGAGAGAGAGAGAGAGAGAGAGAGAGAGAGAGAGAGAGAGAGAGAGAGAGAGAGAGAGAGAGAGAGAGAGAGAGAGAAGGAGAGAGAACAAATGAGGAACACAAGAATGCCGTCTTTCCACGCTAGTAGCCATCAATCACTCACCGGGGGGATTAGAGTACAGCCTCTGCTTGCTAGAAAATGCAATATAGGTGGCTCAACAAAAATCCTATCAATAACATGTACGAACAACTGCTCAGACCACCCATGGAAGCCACTGGCCACCATGAGAATAAAGATTTCAAACGAGCATCTCCTACAGGGGTAGCACAAGCTGAGAAAGGTGCTTGGATGAATTCACACACTTCTCATCTGATCACAGTCTTACTCAGTGTACCTGACAGAATGTCTACTCCATTTCTTTGTTGATTCTGGACAGACTTTTGCAGCAGAGAGACCATGTGTGAGGGTTCAGACTAAGTGAAGCCCAATGCAACGGGTAAATAGCTGCAATAGAGTTTGCGAGTCCTTAGAAACTATTACTGAATCCACATAAATGCAAATCTATTTCATTCCTTGGTGCTGGCCGCTTTAATGCATTCCTTGTATCCCTTCGCAGTAGTCATATCCCGAATTCATTTTGCAGGAACTCAAGACATACATATACATTCACCTTGGGCATCCTGAAAGAAGACCTTAGGGTCTGTTAGGAACGCCCAAGTAAAATAATACATTACAATACAATGAATACTGTCAAGTCCTCAGGGGCGTCGGAACCGGTGCGGCCGAAGCTGCACCAAAAATTTCATTTTGTGATTTTGAAGCAATAGGATTTGACCTATTTGGGCCCAATGTTCCAACTTGTTCCTGTGGGTGACTCCCACAGGACCCCCCCCCCCCCCCCCCTCTCTCTATAGATGCACTAATGCCGAATGCCTTTCCGACGCCTCTAGTCTTTCCCAAGCATGCCTGGAGTAGTGTAGCAGCTCAAGCGGTAGCTGAGCGTGATCATGGTGATCACTTACTCAGACGTCGTCTTCTGTATCTGGTCGCAGTTGATGTTGAACTGCCACCTCTCAATGACGTCCTTTGTCTCCACATCCTCGATCACCAGGACAACGTGTGACAATGTCCCGGCCGCTAGCCATCCTGGCAACACAGCAGCAGCAATGCAACAAACACCAATATGTTTAAGCAAGTAGACAATCAAGTAAAAAGGCCTTCATAAATACTCTCCAGCAATGACACCAGTACGACCATCACAAGCAGGGAGTAGTAAAATACCGGTATTGTACTACTCCCTGCTCACAAGTGAACAACGCATCTAGTACTTCAACGTTGTCACGCGCAAGCGTCTCCCAGGAACTTTCGACACCTTACCTATCATTTGTACCAAGCCTGGCTTCTGCCGCGTGGTGTGGCTATCGACTGTTGTAATTCATGAACATTCTATCGACTGTTGTAATTCATGAACATTCTAGCTGAATCAGTTCAGGGATGAATTTATCCGGCATCGCATCGCAGTTTGCTACGCAAAATCGATCTACTGCTACTCAAAAATCACAGTGACACGCAGAAAACTGCCATACATACATGTACAGGCTATCCATGTTTTTGTAGCTTACGCCACAACTGAGATTTTGCATGGCAAAAACTGCTGGTATGCAAAAAATAATAATAATAAAAATTCGCAAAAAAAAATATGACAGTAAATTCATCCCTGCAGTTGGTACTGGCACGTACTCTTTTGTCTCACACTCTTGTCATAGACACAGTCAGCGTAGTATGCAGCCAAACACTGTTCTGGTGCACACTGGGACCCACAATGTACGTCTTACCTACGGTATACTTTTCTAACCACTCGCAAACTCGCAAACTCCCTTGCAGCCACTCGTATATTAGGTACCTCAACTCGAGTGTCTCTGTAATATACACGTTCAGGGTTGTGTACTTTCACACACGTGAATGTGTGCGCACACACCCACACACATACATGCGCACCTGCATACATACACACACACACATACACACCCACACACACGCACGCACGCACACGCACACACACCCAAAGGCACTACAAACACACACACGTGCATATTAATTTAGTTAAGAAGACTGACCTTCGAGGCTAGAGGTGACCTTCTTCAGGTAGTCCTTTAGCTCCTTGTCCTTAGTGATCATCAACGGTAGTCCATAGTGTGTTTCTCGGCTGAAGTAGGTCTCATTGTACAGGCCACGCTGGTACAATATACTACACACCATGTACACATACACAAACACGCACACACACAACCACACACACACACACACAGACGCGCACGCACACAGAACTTCAAGCCGTGTTTGTTACTTTGTATTGAGATTTGAGTGACAAGCCAGTGGTTGTGAGCGCAGTTCTGCCACTCCATGCAACGCATCTCAATTCTCATAATGGTAAAGTAATCGAACAACTTCTATATCCACCGAAACATATTCGACAATGTTATCAGAATTTGGAGACCATCATCGCACCTCCAGTGCTCCAGTGCATATTGACTGTACTCGATACAGACTTGCAGTCTCCCTATACGACACATTTGCTTGTTTTTATCAGCCAGGAAATAGGTTCAACTCATGTTCACGCCAGTATCTGACTGGATCATTTGCAGCATTGCCACAAGGTATACGTCCAGCGATGTAGAAATCACATCTAAGGCAATTGACACGCACTGGCTGGTGTAACTGGCACATTTCTCGTACACCACCGATTGCTCCAAAAATAGAATAATTATATTTTCAAGAAATAGAGCGTCTGTAACAGTTCTGGATGTTGACTAAGGGCCATGTTTGATTTCTGGAATAAATAAAGAGTCAGGAACTCGCGACTTACTTGTTAATGCTGTAATCTTCATATTTAGCACAGGAGTCACAAGTGGCGACGCAACAGCAAGCAGAAACCATACAACCCAGCAGAACAAATGAATCGATCAAGTTTTTGGGAATGTTTTCCTCGCGCAAGTGTAAGTGACCTAATCAGATATCGCCGAGGTCAACTCACCAAAGAACTCTGCAACGATTTGAGCGCTGCCTTGCAGCGTGATGCTACCCACAGCCTGAGCAGTGTCCATTATCGTTTGTAAAACGTTTTGGGCACGTTGGTTTCTTGCCCCACACACACTTGTTTGTTTACTCAAACCTCTTCATCGCAGATCAAGGCAAGCTTTCTGTGCTTTCGTGATCGCATGACTCTCGTTCAAATTTACCGCGGTTGCCGTTAGCAACACACACAAAATCGCATGACGTCAGAATTCAAATCGTACAGCAACACGAATTTGGGAATCTGTTTAGTAGGGTTTAGTGCCCAACTGCCAAGAGAAACGGACCGGTTGGCACTACAGATGTGGCACAGCGACGGTTTCTGGACGAGGCGAAGCTTGTTGCGAAAAGAGTGGTTTCTTCAGCGGCGAAGGTTAGGTGATGAACCGGATAACTGATCCCATCAGCACCCGTGCACCCGGTCACTGTCTGTGGCTGGACGAAGGCAGCATCTTACTTACTTGCGCTTCCTAACCGGTACATCTCTTTGAAGTTTGTAGACATCGCCGCTAGCCCAGTGGCAAGGCTTCATGAGCTTGTGCAACTAAAAAAACTCGGGCCACACACCACTGACTGACGATGATTTTGGAGAATCCCACTGGGACGGACGGTTACTGTTTACAAATCGCATGTTTAGTCAGCAGTGAAGGGCTTGCTAGCCGTCCAGTTCTAGTGACAAGTCACTCTCTGTCAGCCATGGACATTTTGATTTCAGCTCGCTCTTGACTAAGCATTACACAGGCTTATAATTAGAGTAATACATACTGGACACTTTGAGAGTCAGACCAAGGTTTATCTGGTCGCTTGGCAGCTAGCGGAGGATCTCTGGCTGTTCGACTCATTTACAATTCGACAAACTGCTGTGCTAACGTAGCCTTTGCGGTAGTCGTGTGGCAAACACTGAACACATGATGCAGCGGGAATCCCTAACCGTTCCGAATGAATGAAGTCCAGTCACTATCGACTATTGAGTCCGGGCGCTGCATACGGGTCCGGTTGAAGAAGACCAGATGTCCCACACTAGTGGTCGCCTGTTGCAGTGTTGGTTGACAGCATTATTGTAGTACATGTAGCTGTAGACTCTGTGTAGTGGTGGCGGACTGGTATGTGTGACCATGACTGGCATGAGCCCTTTGATCAAGGAATAATCCGGTAGTCGGTCCAGGCACCATCCTGTAGGCTGTACTGGGAGGTCAGCCTCGTGGATGCTAGCTATCCACTGTCATTTGACTTTGAAGACTTAGCAGCTGCTTCTCGTCAAACTCGTCCATCTGGAGATCCGGATCATACCCAACTCCAGGCACTCTCCATGCAAGTCAGCTGGCAGTGAGGCAGACCAGGTAGTCAAAACGTTACTCAGCAGCAGGTGTGTGCATCACTCCCAACTATAGCCACCACATCACCATACCGTGGTGGCAGACAGTGCTGGCTGGGTTTCTTCTCTTCAGTGTCTGTTGAGTATTTTACCCGCTGTGCTACGCCAGGGACCAGTGTCGTGATGACGTCCGCCAGGATCGGTGATATTGGTGTTGGCCTGTTCATTCTGATCGTGGCCTGGACGGCAGTGATACTGATGGCTGTCTTCACCAAGCTCATGGAGAGATGGAAGTAAGGGTCTTATCTAAATTCTGGAGTTTCCCTACAAAAGAACTAGAAGACCACTGTTCATTTCGGCCAGTTTCCCCCTCTCGAAGTCTCCTCCCTGAAAATGACCAGCCATGCAGACAGCCACCACTTATCCATGGGTGTACATGTACATGTACGTGTACGAATCAGCAATCCGCTCATGACCACGTAGTGTTATAAATGCAGCAATACATGTACCCACATTTTCCCCTGAAATTAACCTATGTAAGGATTGAACTCGCTGTTCATTATAGGCAAGTATGGATTTCGATCGTCCACCTGCTGTCGTATAATATCCACCCTTTTTGGTGCGGGCTGCTGCCCAGGGGGGGGGGGGGGGGGGGGGGAGGGAGGGGGAGATGAGCAACGAAATATTATGTCTGTGTACTGTCCAGTTACATGTAGGTGTCATGGGGTAGCTGAGACTTTCGTGGCCTTCTGTTCAATGGAACCAAGGGCGCCGTGTACACTTCACGGGCGTTTGGCACGGGACGATCACTACGGTATTGACTGTACCCCTTTTTGCCCCAGATACCCCCAGTGAATTAATAAAATTAATGTACTGTACATGTACACTCATCTGGGCTCTAAATGTTCTGCTCAGCCACCTACCCACACGAGTAAATTGTACTTCAGATGGCTAACCGTACCACACTAAAATGCTTTCTGACGCCCCTGGCATAGTAGTCGGTTCGTATATGTGCAGCAGCATGTACCGTAAAAAATAAATAATAAATTCGACGGGTTCGCGTACCGGGCAGGTCAAGAACAAGGAGTCGTACAACTCCCTGGTCAAGAACCACCTTTCCGCTTCCGTGGGACGCCACCACCCCATGATCAGGCGTCAGATGCGGCTCCTGAACGGTGGGGGAGGATAGATCAGATCCACCAACCATAGGCCAAAGGCCTAAATCCCATTTGCCACATCCATGATTTACTCATGCCAGGCCACGAGTTCCCAATTAACTGTGGGTCGCAGCACGGTTGGAAAAATCCTTCCGCTTCCAAGCAGGACTTGAACCTGGTACCTCTCGTTCATTAATCATGGTCTTAGACCAACCCACTGTGCCTGCCTGCACCGTAAAGCCGCGGATAAAAGCCGGGCTTGTAAGCATATAAGCCGCTTTCTGCATCAGGCTTTAATGCTAACCAGGCTTGTATGCAAACCATGCCTATATGCACCACTGATATTTTTTGCCACGCGTAGATCCACCACTGACTACCAGTATGGCGGCAGTTTTACTATCCACTGTACATAGTGCATGCACTCTTGACTTACCCGATCCTCCCTTGCATAGAAGCCAGGCTTCAACGCGCGACAGGCGTATATGCATTTGTGTCGTTTGATTTTCAGGCTTCTATCCGCGATGTGCATGTATTCAAACCCGGCTTTTATCCGCGGCTTTACGGTATCTGTTTTGTCATGTTTGTTGTATACAGGAACTATGCCTGGCTAGCAGCAGGTCTCACACTAGTGCTCACTGTTATTCTGGTGGCTCTGCCCATTGCACCGCAGAGCACCGCTTCACAACAAGCAGTAAGTCTCCAACCGTGATGCAGGCACGGCACAACAAAGTGCTTATCGTATGTCATCGCCTTTAAAGCCGTGGCCATATATTCGAAACGCCGCTGCTTTCCTAGCAACTTTAGATGCAAAATGACTCACCCACTACGCCATGCCATAAAAGTCGAAGTCCACACAGATACTTCAAAAAAGTATTTCAATCGAAATCCACCTATTCACCCTTCCTGCTGGGCTGTATGTTTGTTATCATAGTACTTATTCCTTCATTGTTACAAGACATACTTCAGATGCCATTTTCATTTATGAAGCCCCTAGGTGAGACTGGCTTTATGATCGAATATAACCGGCTCCATGGCTTTAAAGGTGCGGACATACGGTATCATTGAAGGTGTACCTAAGCTGTCTGATTTTGAGAGTAACGTTTGAGTTTCTTGCCTCTTTAAATGGGTTGAATGATTTCCAATAGCCTGGTACTAAGGCGCAGTAGAGCATCGATTATCTTGATATCGACTATCCGGACGATAAAGTATCCAAAATTGCTTGAATGCTGCTTGTGTGGCCGTCAATACATGAAAGAACCATGGTGTACATACAGTGTGTAGAAGTCCTGCGTGATAGTTTAACAATCATGTTTTCGCTAACAGCGATCACATGTTACAAGGCAAGGACGCACAGTGCTCCTGCCTACAACCATAACCCGGTTGGCCGAGTCCCGGTCTTGAACCACTAGCACAATGTGATCTTGTACAGTCAACTTCGCCAATAACGACTGCGGATATAACGACAATTCGCGAATAGCAACAGAATTTCCATGCCCAGAGCAAAGTCCCATCCAACTGCAATACATAAAATGAGACTTCGTGTATAACGACACTTCGCGAATAAGGACACTTTTCTGATGCCCCGCCGAGTGTCGGTATAAGCGAAGTTGACTGTATTCATTTTTGATGATGAAACCGGATCACCTGCAAGTATGAGCCCGGTATTCAATGCATTAGCAATTTAGCATACATACATTTTATCTCTGACTCTCGTATTATCTGAACATTTTACCTCATCCGAACCCCTTTCGAACGGTGTCTGCCACGAAGGGTTCGCCTAACGATGTTCTACTGCACCGTGCGGGTAAGCATGCGTGTGTCTCATACTCTTCAGCTACGGCTACTTGTTCGCTACACCGTAAATGTGCAGGGGCCGGCGTCAGAAGGTATTTTAGTGTGGTGCGGTCAGCCATCTGAAGTACAATTATTTACTCGCGGGGAAGGGGTGGCTGAGCTGGACATTTTTTGGAAATTTAGAGCCCAGATCAGTGTACATGATTGTATTTAATTGATTCACAGGGTACATGGGGCAAATAGTGGTACGGTCAATACCGTAGTGACCGTACCGTGTTCGATGCCCCTGATGTACATGTGTTTGCTTGTTCTCATGCTCTGTGCTAAACAGCAGGAAAAGGACTATGTGTTCGTCGGCAGAACTCTGTTGCTTATAAGCATGGGTCTTAGTTTAGTCATAGCGGCCGGAGCCATTCTTTCGGAGTTTGTCGCCCAGCCAATATCCCCGTTGCAGCTGAGCAAGATTCGGGAATCCAGGAAGCACGACGCAAGGCATAATGTCAGATGATAAACTGTGCTCTGTGCTTGTAAGCGGTCTTCACATCATTTACATGACATTGTACCTGGAAAGTTGTCCTTCTCAGCAGAGGTAAAAATGGCAGAATGTCAAGCAAATTATGCACCAGATCATAATCACAGTCACCGATAATTCACTCAAAAACAAACACAGTTTATTGATGAAGATTTTTTGTTGATAGTTTCACCACGGATAATTGTGGTCCTTGCCAACACAGGCTCATATTATATATTCCTTGACTGTTGAGTAACTATATCAGTAAGTGTACATTTTGTATATATATTATTTAATATAGTGGATTTGCCCAATTTATAATGCTAGCCTTGAGGAGATACATGTAGGTTTGAGCTGGCACGTGCAGAAAATTGGTTTGTGCACTTACAGCGCTTTCACCTGAGATCATAGTTGCCTCTTCCGAGTGTTTCAAATCCATGTAATATTATTAGTTTTTTTATTACCTACAGTATGTATGTATGTATAACTCATAATCACAAGGTGATCGTAGAGGCATTAATCAGCGAGAGAATTGTGAATGAAGTACAACTACAGTATAAGAGCTTATTTACTCTCTAATATCAGATTATGAGCTGCCTTGACCGTTCACTCTTTCTACATGATGATATCTGTCGTGGTGGTGGTGGTGGTCTGTGGAAGCCACCCAAGCAGGTCCACTCAACTGGACAGCAGCACACACATGACATGTATAGCGCATACTAGCAATAATACGGGAGACGTTAGTGCTGTACTGGAGAGAACTCTTGCACATACATGTGCCGGTACATGTCAGTGCTGCCAACGCACTGGGTCTGTTTTGCGTACTGCGACTTCTGATTTTCCGTATTTTGCAGCGTTTTCCGTACTACCAATGTACTGCCGCGTGTACGTATGGCTTGTATTGTGCTTTCTTGACACTCATATGCTTGTCCGTGGCTGAATCTGCTAGTGCAAAACATGTGTGACTGTACCACTGCATGATAAATTTTGTGCTACATGTAGTCGAAGTTTGCCATGCACTCGCTTTGGCACAGGGATATCCATCGCTCAGCTTGCGCTTGTCCATGCTTCTGCCATACATATCTGTAGCTGATCGATCCCTTCAATTTTCCGTACCATTTTGCTCGAATTCTGTACTGCGGAAGGAGTGATTTTCTGTACAGATACGGAAAATACGGAAGGTTGGCAGCACTGACATGTACATGTAGTCGAGATGGAGGGTTGGATTCTTCGCCACCTCAGTGGATGTACAAAGCTTCAACACAAATTTACGAGTAAGCATGAATGCGGATCACTATCGAGAAAATTTTAATTAACAAACACATGTACTAACAATGTCGTAGCTCCCATACCGTGCAATGTCTCCAGGACAAGTGCAGCAGCTGACTAGCAACTCCTTCACCCAATCCATATAATCATACTTCTTGTTGGAATAAGACTGCGGACCATTCTCAATCAATGGGTGCTCCGCCGTCATGATGACGTCATCATCCAACATACAGCTACAGATATGCAGCATTTCCCGGCACCGGCAATTAAATTATTTTGCCATCGTGTATCTCTACCAGCACTCCTGATGATGAGGTGACAAGCTGAGTTTCATACGTACTGAGCCGTTCTTTATTTATGCCATAATTAAAGCAGCAGCAGCAACAGCTTCAGACTTGGAATTTAAATAATTACATTTCACGGTAGGTGAGTGAAATATCTGTACTGCCCAAATTGCAGTTTCTAACCTTCACCTTTGCCTAATCTCTTCTTCAGCCCTGATACTTTTGACGGTGTGGAAGACTCATTGTCAGCCCCGGGGACAAACCCAGGGTTTTCACCTACTGTAAAACATTCTCGCAGGCTCTTGGACGTCCTTCGAGTATCAGTTGAGGGATATTATTATTCTACATCTATTGCAAATTCATGATTTCGACCCCCGGTTGACAACTCACAAGGCCGCGGAAGAAAAGGATTCTGCAAAATGCAAAACTCTGCTGATGTTACAAATTGCAACGCAGTGGCAGCTAAATAGTCAGTCAAAGTAGTGAACACACTTCATATCACGCGTGCACGGGAAGATGTGAATTGAAGATCCTCAACAATGACGTCAATATTCATTGTATTTTTACTATAAAAAATATTTTTACGAGATTCGCAGGATGCATGCATCGCGCATATCGATGATTCATGCGCATATGGATATGTAGTCCATCAGCCAGTGGTGCCAAAGTGAGTCCCCTGTTGCACTTACAAATCGAACACCTGGAACTGACATCAATCGACAGCAAAAGCATCACTGAATCCAACCTGCCTACTTTCCCTGGCGAAACTCTTGCACTCCTTTTACAGTGCGCCTTGGAAGTTCGACAAATTTCTTCTTCTTCATCAGCCATTACGAGGTTTTCCATCCGTTTTATCAGGACATCCAATTCGTCTTCAGTGAAAAACGTGGAGTTTTGTCAACGTTTGGTGTGGTTTTCCGTGGCGATCGATCTAAAATCGCGAAATAAATCGCCGTCGATTTGAGCAGAGGTGAGTTGGCTTGGAGCACGTACAGATTCAAAAAATATGTGTACATGCGCACCGGGAAGAAGATGAAGATGCTCACCATTTTCAAAATTAATAACTACATGACTACATGACTATTGTCAAGAGTGGTCTCTTGCTATTGTACTGCAATTGTTGTAGTTACTTGTTTGCAACTACAATGATATCAAGTAGATAAACAAGCGAGGTACAGAGGGATTGATGGCTGATCAAAGCCCAAGGGACCAGCCCAAGGGCTTTGATCAGTCATCAAGCCCGACTGTACCTCGCTTGAATATGCTTCAGACGATCCCCAACAATTTTTTGGATTTTGAATTCAATCGCTTTATTCTTTGGGTGATCTCGAGTGTGGTAGATAGTAGTACAACTGTAACTGTACTACTACCTGGTTGCAACATGTTCAAAGCAGCCTTGCCTTTATTTCAACTGTTTGCTGTCAGCATCCAGAGCCATGGCGTTTGCTAGTTGGTCGTAATGGAGAAGAGAACTGCAGGGCATTCACTCGATGTACAACATCCATCGCCGCAGATTCCTTACTTTTAGCTCTCCACGTTCCTTATTTTTCCAGGGATCAGGACCTTCCCGGGGTGATTCCATTCAGGGTAGAAGCGTAGATCACTTTTGCCAAACAGTAAAAACTACGCTTCAAACCTGCTTGACATGACTCGGGGTGCACACTTCGGAAACCCGAAGGTGGATGATGTTCAATACTAGCTCATTGTAATCTTCCTGAAGGTATGTATTCGGATGCTCAATTTAAATAGAACAGTGAAAGAGATGTGTAATGGAACAACACTCTACAAGTAGGCGAACAACAATTTTATTGTAATTTGAATCCAGGCACACGTGTAATACGGAAACTGCAATGGTTTACACTGCAAATCTTCTCGATTTGCAAGATTTTTCCCGTAATTCACAAAAATCTGAAACTGAGTGTGAGTTCATTCCTGAAACGCGCATGGCACTGATTGGAGATTGGGTTTAGGTCACAACAATGGCTGTCGATGAAATGCCAAAAATGGTCACTTTGTCGGCTTCCCCCTGCAGAGCGTGCAAGTCGTTTACTCTTTTTATTTGCGGATTCGGTGTACAGGGTACCTAAACTCCCCATTGAGGCCAAAATCAAGTATTCGATTTCTAAGTGCAACAGGGTGCTTGAATTTGACGACTTCTGAGTTCTTGGCTGATGGACTAATGCGCATATGCGCGCATACGCATGATCGAGCTTTTCTCTCTTGCAATAATTATGCAATGTCATTAAATTTTTTCAAGTAACAGTTTTGAAAATGCCAAAATAACATCCTACTGTATTTTGTCACAACACCAGTTGATTGATTGATTTGCTGCTAAGTTGCATCCACAATGTTGATGTTTTGCCCGAGCTGCGGCAATATCTTGATTGTCGAGGAAGGTCCGGAATGCATGCGATTCGCGTGTAATACTTGTCCGTACGTTCACAACGTGAAACGAAAGGTAAGAATCGAAATTTACGACGGCCTCCCCTGTCTTGCAAATCTAATTGGTTACTAGTGTAGGGAAGTAGTGTTACGGAACTCCATTGTTGCCTTGTCGTAGCTAAAGATGCATACACCAACGCTCCTCCGTCCTGGGCTGTTGTTTGTGTGTAGCCAATTTTGTGTAACAAGTTCTGTGAAGTCAGTGACGTAATGCTAGTGTGTGCATCTTTAGCTACTGTACTACATGTAGTATTTTATGTAAACAGGCGGCGAGGGGACAGTGAATATTAAAATCACAATGAATAGCACCAGCTGAAACGACATGTGATTGAATCCTGAAGGGAAACGCTGAACATTCTTCTAACTACAGTGCTGCTCCACGAAATCTGATCAACCGAGTCAGCTTTTCGCTGTGTACCAGTGAACCTCCCAGTGTTCGTAGGCTGCATAGTGCCTGGCGTGGCAATGACTCGCTTGACTGCATTTTCACTGGTTTCACGGAAAGGTGAAAACAGGAAAAGTCTGAAGAAAAAATTGACTGTCACCACCAGGACTCGAACCAGGGACCTTCGCTTGAGGCCAGCGATCCTTGATGGGATTTCATTGAGCAGCATTGTAGTTGAAAGTATTTTAGGGGCTTTATTTTTGACTACATGTATCACAGAGAAGTTGCGAGTCGGCCGGCCGCAATTTAGTACACACCGCAATGAAGTCAGCTGCATACCAATAATGTTGCTATGTTTGCTCGCACTAGTAAATGTGCTGGAATGCTGTCATAGTATTCGTATGTGTGTTCACCTGCGTGTATGTCCGGGTATGTGTGTGTTGTGTGCGCGTGTTTATGTGCATCCGGATAATTTTAGATCTCGAGCCGCAAGTTCCCCAAACTGAAGGAGCTTGATGACGTACTGGGAGGGTCGGCTGCTTGGGAGAATGTTGATGCTACAGAGGGTAAGATTGAAGCAAGCCATTCGCTCCCCTTTGTATGTGTGTGTGTGTGTGTGTGTGTCTCTCTCTCTCTCTCTCTCTCTCTCTCTTCTCTCTCTCTCTCTCTCTCTCTCTCTCTCTCTCTCTCTCTCTCTCTCTCTCTCTCTCTCTCTCTCTCTCCCTCTCTCTCTCGTTGCTGTGAACACCTTGAGTGGAGAGCGCTTGCTCGAGCGTTGAACCGGGTTCTTAATCCACCATACCCAGTTCGCAAGGCTGGGCGGGGTTGTGAGCAGGCTTTCATTTAATCTTTTCTTATTATTTCTGCTTTTCATCGCATTACAAAAATTCTGCGCATTTTTTCTCCATCTGCGCATAAAATCTAGACTGACAACCTGCTTGTTAAATCATGCACCTGCTTTCAGGCGTAAAAACCCTGTTGTAGAGGTCTCAGTCCTCAGTTGTTAGTCTTACCTGTCTTTATAAATGTAACTTACTCTCCCTCACTCTCTCTCTCTCTCTCTCTCTGTCTCTGTCTCTGTCTCTCTCTCTCTCTCTCTCTCTCTCTCTCTCTCTCTCTCTCTCTCTCTCTCTCTCTCTCTCTCTCTCTCTCTCTCTCTCTCTCTCTCTCTCTCTCTCTCTCTCTCTCTCTCTCTCTCTCTCTCTCTCTCTCTCTCTCTCTCTCTCTCTCTCTCTCTCTCTCTCTCTCTCTCTCTCTCTCTCTCTCTCTCTCTCTCTCTCTCTCTCTCTCATCTCTTCCCCCCCCCCCCTGCGCACCAGTGTTCTCTTCACCATACGATATCTGCAACAACCGAACACATACCTCTTGGCAACCCTGCATCAATTGAGTAGTGTACACCATATCACAAATTGCCGAATGACTTGTGGGTCACAGTGCTGGCTGAAAACCCTTCTGTTTCTAATCAGGAGTTTTTTTTTCGGTGTAGCCATGTGTAATTTATTCTATGCTTGTGTCCGTGCATGTGTGATGTGGTGTGTGTGTGTCTGTGTGTCTGTGTGCGCACGTGCTTGCTGCCTTGCCTGAATGTGTTTCTTGTGCGTTCTGGCGCTGTTCAGCGGAGTGCCCCAAGTGCCATCACATGAAAGCCTTTTTCATGCAAGTACAGACCCGTTCAGCCGATGAGCCTATGACGATCTTCTACAAGTGCGTTTCCTGTGGACACCGGTGGCGTGATTGAGCTAGGCGAGTTTCTTGCACGTGCTAAAAGGTGCTGCTTCCCATTGCTGAAGTTTGCTTCTATTTGTAGTAAATTTTGTACCGTGTCAACCCTATCTGGTGGCGTGACTGAGCAAGACGGTTTTCTTCCACTTGCAAAGGCTCAGCATGGTCTGTACAAGTTATGGGAAGTCTGGACACGTATGATGTTATGAAACAATCATGTTTTCAAGGACCTGGGTAAGTATAATATCTGGGTTCGGGTTTTGGAAAACGAAGGTTACGACTGTGCCGTCGAGAAAGTGTTGAAACGCGATGCTTTTGGTCACGCATCAACAAGCGCTGGCACCTGCCGGGCGTTTTTTCTCTCTCCCATGCTGCACCGAGGTGTCGTCACGTCAAGCTTCATGTTGTCATGTAGCTCAAGTCAGGGTACCGCAGCGCCCAGGTGGTTGCACGGCATGTGCTGAACTGCAGTAAGTCTTCTACATCTACGGGCTTCTGTGCTATAGCCCTTTGATCATTGAGTGACAGTTGCTGTGCTGTGCTGGCTATGGCTGCTAGACTGAGTGACAGTTGCTGTGCTGGCTATGGCTGGTAGACTGAGTGACAGTTGCTGTGCTGGCTATGGCTGGTAGACTGAGTGACAGTTGCTGTGCTGTGCTGGCTATGGCTGGTAGACTGAGTGACAGTTGCTGTGCTGTGCTGGCTATGGCTGGTAGACTGAGTGACAGTTGCTGTGCTGTGCTGGCTATGGCTGGTAGACTGAGTGACAGTTGCTGTGCTGCGCTGGCTATGGCTGGTAGACTGCCTGGTGCCTTCATACTCGGACACTCTAGATTTATTTTCCTCTTTTTTATTTTTAAAGCGCTTCTGTGTTTTGTTTCTTTTTATACTCCAACGAAGTGTTCAGATCATCTTCTGGCATGGCCATTGTCTGCTGTAGCTGTCCTTCGCCTTAGTACTCTATAGAGTGAGTATACCTATGTGTCATTGTCCGGAATTCTTTTCGCCTGTTCGGACAGTGTGGTTTCAAATTGTGTGCGTTGTTTGGCTTGTGTTTGGTCATGGAGGAGTTTGTAAACGGGTTTGGATACTTGTACATGTATTTGGCGGCGATTCTCCAGTGCGAAATCTGTTTTATTATTATTATTACACCATCCTCAAGATCCTTTTTTTTTTTTGTAACAGGCTGTGAGAAATACTGTATGTGGGTGTGAACGATTGCAGGAGTTGGGATGCAAAGCTGGTCTGGGTTGCGTTCCTTATCGGATGGTTTACTGCCTGGATCACGGTGGTAAAATAATTACAGTAATGTAGTACCAGGAGTGCATAAACATGGACTCTTGGTAGTATGCTGCATTTGACTGTCCCACTCCACAGTTGTTGGTGTATAAGTACAGTACACAGCAACGACTGGAGTGCGCTGGCGAATGTCCAGATCCAGTGTTGAGAAGACCAGGGGTTTCGGGCCTCGTGCAGTCTCCATGTATAGTACCAAGTCCATAATGGACTCTTGGTACTGCATGTACGACAGTCTGCCCCCCCCCCCCCCCCCCCCACACACACACACAAGCGTATCGTGTTTCCCCAAGTCCTGCTCGATTGCTGGAAAAATTGTAAGTCACACAAAGGGGCCTTTGTTGACCCTGAAGCAACAACGCAGAACTTCCAAAAGAGTTCAAAGACTGATACAAGATGTGAGTGATTGAAGCTCCTACCAGTTCGTTTTCTCGTAGATAACAAAAGACATGCCGGTACTACATGTAGTAGCAAAAACTACACGGGGAACCAGTTTGCATGCACTGATCTGTCCTTGGTCCAGCTCAATGCACCCTCTAAATCTAATTGCACACAACATCACCACACAAGCCACAAAGCATGTGGTTACTTGCAGTTGTCACCAGGGAGTCGCAAAACACAGCAAAACGTATTTTCACGACTCCCTGGTTGTCACCATCGTCATATAAAAAAGTAGAATAAGCTCGGATAAACTTTGATCTCAAGAAAAAAATATCACTTGTTCATAAAAATTGTCAGTGCTTCTTGAAACTCGGATGATGTTGGTTCATCTTTTAAAAAAAGGTTTCTAAATTGCAACATGATGGACGAGCGATGGACTCAATTTCATCTTAGAAATGCTAGAGTGGTAGATAACTAGAGTGCTACAGTGCTAGATGGCTATAGTATAGAGTCCTAGGGTACCTACATGTACAAGAAAATCGTTAACGCGGAGCTGAGAAGCACACTAGCAATACTGTCAGATCTGGGAAAAGAAAGCAATGGGGGTGGACCATCTGGCCCGGAGTTACATGTATTCCAGAACAAAGTCAAATTCGCATGCATCCAGTCCAGAAGACACTTCATATTAGATATCAAACACTCTGGAGTTAGTAAAATTTATGGTAAAGCCAATGGATATAGGAGGGGAAAACCCGATGGGATAAATCGTCATTCAGAATTATAAAAATAGCTCATTGGTAAAGTTCGGTACAGTAAGGAGCTGTGCCTCACATGGCGAACAGTCAGTATCTAAGGCAGGGCAAGATTGTTCCTTTCATTCGCCTACTAACTCCCACACACAGACACACACACATACCAATACACACACACACACGCGCGCTACGAGCGGGATGACCCGCAGATGGGGAGTTTTGGCGAGCTTCGATGAAAGGCCCTGGACTGGTGTAACCACGTGTCCATCATGCCCACCATGGAAGGGCTGGACAGTTTCATGGGATGCACAGCAGGTGTGTTATTGAACTCGTGAGCATCTAACCACGCTATAGTGCGAAACTGCGGCCGCCAGACGTTCACCTCTCCGACAAGGGTAGCAATCTTGCTGGGGTCTTTGGCAACGAGTAGCTCGCACATCTGGATAGCTATTTCCATCATAACATCCCATAGGACGTAGAGGCACTGCGTGAACTCGACGGACATGGCGGCGGGAACATAGCCGACGTCCACCAACCCGTGCACCACACACGCCGGGCAGCCAAGACGCTGTGCCCGCCGCTGCAGCCACTCACGCTTCATGCAGGGAAGTGCAGCCTGGACGGCTGGTAGTCCTATGGGCTCTCTCCAATGCACCCAGTTTGGTGAGTCGTTCCGGGATAGATCCATTGTCGCCGTGCCTTTGCGAGTGTTGGCCCAGATGGCGTCCGGATTCATTTGAGAGAGAAGCTATACGCGCAAAACAGAACACAAATGGGGAAACGGCGTTTAGAAACAATTCAACGACATCATTGTAATGATCATATGACATCACTGTATGCGTTTTATACTGAGTATCAAGCCAGCGTTTGTCCTGTCACTCAAGGCATCGCAAACAATGAAAAGTGACTATCAGGTGTGCTGTGACACCAGGACACCGCCTACCATCGTGTATAGCTGATGCACTTACCATAGGATAGTTGAGGAAGACATCATCACCAGCCCACAAGTAGCCATCATAATCCGGAAAAGCAGCTATAGCTCTGGCCAGGGCGCGGTGGAATAGGAAGCCATCTTGGATTTCCTCTCCATACACGCCGTGCCCAGGGTCTGCCTCCGGACCATAGAACACGATATCGGTGAAAACTGCACAGGATGGAAGTATGACACGTGATTGCGTGTGTATGTGTAAGAGTGCGAGAGTGCGAGTAAGAGACGGAGAGAGGGGAGAAGGAGAAAGAGAAAGGGAGAGAGAGAGAGAGAGAATCAGATTGAAAGGTACCCAAACAGTCAAAGCAGCCACAGCAAAAGCAACAGCATAGCTGCCCACAAAATTGACAGCAGTACAAGCAGCAGTAGAAGGACCAGCAGTAGTTCTAGGAATGGCAGCAGTACTTCAAAGACGTAGAAGCAGCAAAGGACCACGATAGTCAAAGCAGCAAAACACACAAAGCAATGAGCAGTGCCAGCAGCCCCTATGGTAACACAGTTGGTATCAGTAATATAATCAGCAGCACAGCAGCAGCAGCAACAGCAGCAGCAGCAACAGCAGCAGCAGCAACAGCACAGCAGCAACAGCAGCAGCAACAGCACAGCAGCAACAGCACAGCAGCAACAGGAGCAGCAGCAGCAACAGCACAGCAACAGCACAGCAACAAAGCAAAGCAGCAGCAACAACAGCAACAGCACAGCAACGGCACAGCAGCAGCAACAGCAGCAGTAGTAGGCGCTCAGCAGCAGCTTTACCTACCTTTAGAGTAGAGCTGCTTGACTTTAGGTACGTTTTGGTAATACACCCAGTTGAAGATAACAATTAGCAGAATGCGCCGACAATTTGCCTTCTTCTCAACGGGAGGACTTGAGAGCTTTTGAGCCTGGGATCAAACAACACACACAGAACATGCAAATGGCAAGAGCACAAAGACTACAGCACTCAAACGGAGAATGAATGCATAGCTATACATGTATGTAGATAAAGAAAATATCATAAAATAGATATGCTGGGATGACGACTACACCATAGCTCAGTCGTTAGAGCATCGCTGGCCACAAGCGAAGGTCCCTGGTTCAAGTCCTGGTGGTGACAGTCAATTTTTCTTCAGACTTTTCCCATTTGTCTCTTTCCCTCAAACCAGTTAAAGGGGAACTGTCACCAAAACATTTCTTTGTCTTATCTTGTAGTTCTTTGGCTCCTGATCACGATGGTGTTATCCGTTTTTCTCTGCGATGGCTGGAAGTGGGTGAAAACTTGAAAAGAGGGTGCCCAAAATTGTCCCGAAGTACCGAGTGACGTCACGCCGGACTTGACCTCCACGTGTACATTCGTCGTCAAAAACGAAGTCCAGCCCGTGTGCTGGTCGATCGAGCTAGCTGTTCCAATGTACGGTGCACGTGTGCCTTTTGAACTGTAACACAGATGGGTACGTCGTACCGAAGGAGAATGCCAAAGAGGCAGAGACCCATGTGCAGCTACACAGCCAAATCAAAGTAAAAGGCAGCTGAGCTGTCACCTTTTTGACTTCTTCCGCGAGGATCTAATTAATTAGTAAGTTTTATTTTGTGAGCACGGAAGTCGTTGTTGTTTTGAACTTTTCGTGTGAGGAACAACACGATGATGAGTGCGTATGCAGAAAACAGTACTCCTCCGGCCGGCGATAACACCACCAACCCGAGCCCCAAAGGAACGCGATGTAGGTACGTGAAGGCGATGTTGCTGAAGATGCAGATGACAAACTCTGACGTCTTTCATTTGAGAGCCGGGTGGGCAACACCGCCACCTTCGATACAACGACATAATTTTCAAGTACGAGGTACGTGTGTCACACTAACAGCAAACAAACATCCTTCGACTCCTTCGTAATCACAAATAAAACAAAGAGCTGGAGCTTCGTGGAGGAAGTACCAGTGCGACAAACTGCTGTCGACTTTTGTTCATTTTGTCCCTTTTTGGCGTTCTCATTGTGTACAACGTACACATCGAGTGTCCGAGTTCAGAAGGCAAGCGTGCACCGTACATCGAACAGTTGGCTCGATCGACCAGCACACGGGCTGGACTTCGTTTTTGACGATGAATGTACGCGTGGAGGTCAAGTCCGGCGTGACGTCACTCGGTACTTCGGGACAATTTTGGGGACCTTCTTTTCAAGTTTTCACCCACTTCCAGTCATCGCAGAGAAAAACGAATAACACCATCGTGATCAGGAGCCAAAGAACTACAAGATAAGACAAAGAAAATTTTGGTGACAGTTCCCCTTTAACAAAAAAATAGATTATTCTCATTAGGCCAAAACAAATAATGACCTTGTTTCCGGTCGCCCGACCGGGCCACTTTTTCCCAAATTCGGAAACTTTTTTGGTCCCAAATGTATACAAACGGTGGCAATGCCATGTGTGCAAGTGCACTCAATGAGTCATAACTCAGTCAAATCTCAACCGAATTCCACAATCGAAACACCTACAAGGTAGCAGAGATTCTCAGCTGTCGGCTCAAAAACCTCCGGGGAAGATACGAGCTAGAATAATGGAGCTGGAAGGACTCGAACTGTTTGCTTGATTTCTCAGGATCTACGAAAACAGGAATACACCACATGCTGTACAAGAACAGTGAGTCAGTCAACTTTGACATTGATCCTTGCCATGATATATGTACAATGTACATGTGTAGGTGCCCTTGTCCATCAATACCACAACGATTGAGGAACCAAAAAAAAGTATCCAAAAAAGTTTCATTCCGGCCGACCGAGTCTCCTTTTTGAGGGGTTGCCGACCGGAAACAAGCCTATTTTTTGTTTTGGCCTTAGGATATCTCAACACAAACACAAACACAAAACACTCTTCGCTGCATATGTCATCGACTTTTGAAAAGTTGATGACGTCAGCAGCAAAGAGACCATGATATCTTTATTGTTTGAGTGGAGGTATCCTGAAGGGTAATGTGTAAATGGCTGCAAAAGAGTCTACGAGTGCTTAGATTAGAACAAAAATAGCTCATACCAAGAGTAAAGTGAAACTCTGATACAAGACGCACAACCATGGGCAACAGGAAAGTGTGCACTTAATGGGGTATTCACACGACAGGCAAATCCACGTGCACCGGAAAGTTGCTATGGTATTTTACCCGTGAACGAGAAACGTGGCTGAAAGTGGCTGAAAAGTGCAAGCGAGCTGGGGGCCCACTTTCAAGATAATCGTGGCGTGCATGAGTACATTTACACCAAAAAGCGCGAAACAAGACTTGATTTTTTACGCGGCTCTTTAAATAAAGCATGATAATTATTGTATGCGTGTTTTGAAAATTTGAAATACCCATGGCTACTGGTCGGTAAAGCATTCAAAAATGCAAACGTGTCTGTCGTCGAGTGCAGCTGTGTGAATCCACACAGTCACTTTTCTCGTATGTCACTCCCTGTAAAACGTGCAAGTGCCTGTCGTGTGAATACCCCATAAACAAATTTCACGGTTCGCGTCAGACTCGGCTAGAGGCCAAGTTTTCCGCATCAGTAGGAACGCCACCACCCTTCAAGAATCAAGGCGCAGATGCAGCTCCTAAAGCGGTGGGAGGTGAGTAGATCAGCTCACCAGCAAGTGTTCAAAGACCGAAACTCCGATTCACTAAGTGTGCACTTAGTATGCGAGGTGTTTCTTATCCTAACATACAGTAGAAGTCGTCCAGGCGACCACCATGATGTCGACCACCTTTCCTTGAGGACCAGGAACACAGGACCAAAGAGTATCACTCCCACTACAGGGGCGTTGCTGGTCCCCCTTTTCGGGAGGGGGTGCACGGCCACATTGAATGTATGTGTAGGATGGCTGGTGCATGTCATTCATGGTCATAACGTGCATGTGGAACATAGGTCGAAAGTTTTAGGGGGGTGGGTGCACGTGCCCATGCGAGCCACACGCCTGCACTAATACGACCCAGGAAAAGTAGACCACCCGTACACGGGACCACATTTCGGAACTCCCGTGAGCGGTGGTCTTGGACAGGGGTGTTTTCATGGTATTTCAGCGTGGAAAAATAATACCAGTACAGACTCCGGACAATGTCCGTACAAAGCAGGGGTATGTCTTATCAGAGGGCGTACTAGGCAGGTTCCATTATATACATGTACCGTAATGGGATGTCACCTAACCGCAGTAAGGGACTTCATGTGAAACTCAGAGTCGAAAAACAAGTTTCTCCCTCCCCCCCCCCCCCCCCCCCTCTCTCTCTCTCTCTCTCTCTCTCTCTCTCTCTCTCTCTCTCTGTCTCTGTCTCTGTCTCTGTCTCTGTCTCTCATATGTGCTATGCATTTCTTGAAATTATCTTCGGCCCAAGAGGATTAAACTCGGAGTACGGATTACATGTAAACCTTTGGTCCTTTAATCTGAACTTCAAAAGGATTAAGCTAACCTTTCTAGCAGCGACTGACGCCAGAGCATCCTGCCGACTGCTGCTGAGGAATGTCGACCAGCCTGCACAACAAAGTTCCGGTAGTCTTTGGCTCGGACACTTCAGGGTTTGTTTTGCTTTCGGAGGCCACTTGCTTCCAACACCTGCCGCAGGAGCAAGAAACAATGTACACTCATATCCGAACCCATAAGGTACGGGCACTTCGGTTTAGGGGGCACCCTTCCGGAGAATTTTAGTGGAAACACTACAACAAGTACTCTTTTGTCACTTTTTGTTGAAATAGTGACGTAATACTAGTATGCCATATCTATGGGCTTTCCACATCAACATGTACGTGATTCGGAGTCACGGACATTTCAAAGCTACGTGCAGTGCTTGGTCACGGACCGCCCGAATAAACGACGTATGAGTGTACATGCATGTCTATAAACCGAGTTCTTCCTATAACAAAAACGAAGAAAACCCACTGAACTGAAGGAAGCACTGCAAAAACAACAGAAGTTTACAGCAGGGACATAACCAGTGAGTCCTGATTCAGACCATTCCACAGATCGGAGACAAGCATTTTTTTCGCTAGGTGTAAGGGTGCGTTTGATTGGTCCGGCCCAGAATGGGATCATTTAGAACAGGCGTGTTTGATTGGTCCGACCCAGAACGGGATCATGTGGAAAAGGCGCGTTTGATTGGTCTTCTGGAATATTCAGAATATGTGGTGAGGACAGGTATGAGTCGTACAATACTGCTGACTGCAGACATGTACAACTGCAGTGATGCAATGTGAAATGGTCCAGGGTCAGACGCCAGCTTTGCACTTTCAGTTGGATTTCATCTACAGTCCATTCGTAAAAAGATGATCTCTGGCTCTGGACAGCTGTCGTATTTGGCGATTTTTAACGATCTTATCGTACATGGTGCAGTTTTTTATTTTTTATTTTTATTTTTTTTATTGGGAACACAGCCCTACAAAGAGACATGTGGAGACAAACACAAGACAAGACACAGGGGATGTAGGGACGACGTGCCGATGTACAGGGAGCAACTCGACCGACCAGGGGTCTCGGCGTTAGCGTTGCAACCTGGCATCGAAAAAAAAGGGGGGGTGCATGGTCAGGTAGCAAAAATAATAATTTGGTGCGAGAAAGGGGCGCTAGTATTGCACCAAATAATATAAATTAATACGTGTAATGACTAAACCAGAAGGGAAAATGAAGAAAGAGGACAGTAATCATAACAAGCAAGTAGTAGTAGAGAGGTAAATACTAAATGGGTCTCAAATCTCAATATCATCGTCACAGGTACTGTGTGGACCACAGCCATCTCTTTCGGATAGTGCCGTGGAATTCGTCCAAGGGAAGGTAAAGTTATCGATCCTTGAACAGCTAGTGCTTTCATAGGAAAAACGCGATTTTTGCAGGAGTTGACGTGGGGCGGCATTCAGGCAGCGTCGTGCTCAAAAGGTTAACTCGGATACTGAACCAGTAAATATAATTAGAATAGAAGAAATCACATAGAAACAAGTCATGAATCAACAATCCACCACTGCACCAAAATGATAAGCAGTCAGAAAGTGCGATTCCTCATTGGTCCCACCATAACCTTGAAGCTTCCAAGCTTGAAGGCTGTTGGTTTGCGCACTGGAGATGTGTTAGAACTACAGTGCTGGCAACTGAAATCCGACCCCCTGAGCGGTGCGCTCGCATCGTAACACTACGAAATAGAGGCCGCTAGAAAGTGAACGCACCGCCCAGGGGGTCGGATTTCAGTTGCCGGCACTGTAGGTGTCAGGTCTTTGAATGTCTCAGTAGCCTGTCAGTATTGTGCCCTGTTATCGCACTTTCTGACTGCTTATTATCGTGTTACAGTCGTGGATTGTTGCTTCATAACTGGTTTCCATGTGATTTCTTCTATTCCAGTTACGGACATATCAAGTTATGGCCAGTGCCCAGTCCCGGACAGACCCGATAGTAGATACACGATTGAAGCACTGCGTTTCACAGTGTATCGGGATTCAACCTGACAACTACTACTATTCATGCCACACCGTACCTGGTCTTTGGCGAGTAATTGTCGCTGTTGGTCCGATGTGCCGCTTTGTACCGATCTTAGGCGTGATGGTGGGCACGGCTTGCTGCCGGCGCTTAGAAGGTACAGCAAGTCTCCTGCGGGTAGCGGTGGTGATAGGAGCTGGCGTTGTTGTCGCCTTTGCTGTAGGCAGTGCTGTGCGTGCTCGTGGGCTCGTAGTGCGGAGATGCCGGTGCTGCACGGTTGCTGGTGGTACTGTTGTGCGGCGGCGTGCAGTGCTGAGAGCATTGAGTCTCCTCGGCGAGCTATCCACACCCGTACGTGCCTCAGGTCTAGTCTTGCCTCTCAGGTGTCTGCTAGTCTGCACGTTCTTCTGTCCTGCTTGGACACGAGCAACGAGTGGATGGCCTGGATTCCTTCCAGATTTGGTACGTTCATTTATTAAGCTTAATTTCATAGCAGCCACCATAGGTCTTCGCCTCCGTGATACAGTGGGACTGTGAATACTTGTGAATAGAAAGAATACGAGTACCACGCCGCAGAACAACACGGACGCGACGAGCTGTCGTTGACCGACCATCAGGTTTGCTTGTGTAGGGCTACCGCCAGGATTGCAACTAGCTTGCAGCAAAACTGCCAATGCAGAATCCAAAGCGATCCCCTTTCTGCCAATTATAGTTCACATAATTCTACATTGAAAGTGGTGCACTGAGCAAGATTGCAGCTATTACTAGCAGACCACGCGCTTGCACACACGGCCACTGAATGCCAACTCCATCCTTTACCAAACGCACAGCAACAAGCCCGAATGCAGAAAAAAAGCGTTCTGGACGAGGAAATACTGACAGTCTGTAATCCATTCTTTCATTCCTTTCATGCTTTCAGCTTTGGTTTTGCCACTAAAAAAACGACGTCATGTCAGCCCCATGGGCCATGGCCCATGACATGACATAACACATAACACGTACACACGTAGTCTACACGTAGATCTACACATGCACTGCACTGTGCAAAAGTGTGCATGTGACACACACACATGCACTAGCACTGTGACACATGCACAGTCAGACGCACACACACACACGCACGCACGTAGCTAGATGAGCTACCAGAGTACCGGGTCTACCATGTACAGACTCAGTAGATATTGGTTATCGTGCCCTTCTGATTTTTCACATTTTATCACTATAAGTATAACTATAGTATAAGTATAACCGGTACTCGTATATCACTACAGGCGATTTTCAACTGCGCGTGTCATACATACACATTATACATGTGTGGGTACTCGATCGCGCTAATGTAGCATACTGATACATGATGCATGCTGCTGCACCTTCCCTAGTCTAGAGTGAAGAACTTCTTGGCCCCAAGGCATCATCCAGGAAGCATCAGGCCAGAATACACTATGAAAACACACATGCGGCTCCAAGTCGAGACATCAATGCCTCACACTCTTGTGTTGCTATCACTATAGACGATATTTTTTCTGTACAAGGAGGTGTTTTGAATTGTGATTCTGTATCCTTATAGCCGATTTATCGCTACATCCGATATATTGGTTATAATGATATTTTCATTTTGTATCAATATAGCCGGTTTATCACTATGTCCGATGACTTTATAACCGATATCCACTGTACCATGGTCTACGTGTTACCAAAAGTACATATTTTTAAAAGATATTGATTTTGTCACTAATTACGGTATGCCACATTTCTATGCAGAATGAGCGCAGTTGCGCCAATTTAGCCCTATAATTTAAAGATCTGTCTATTCTTATTATTCTTTCATTCAACACCATACATGTAGATGTACATGTATGCCTCCACTGATGAGCTCACTGAGGAGGAGCGAAACAGCTGTCTGGAGGGTCATTGTCAATATCAATCAAAATTGGACAGGGTGAGAACACCCCCCCCCCCCCCCTCGGCCGGCTCTGGAGATCGATCTGGATGACCAGAGTTAGCTCGTATCCGGAGGAAGCCTATGGCCTTGACAATGTCTAAGTGTTCGATGCTCCGTCGACAAGGAAAGTGGCAGTTTACAGTTTCCATCACAGGAGCTCCGAAATACTCATATCATGTACATGTACATGTAATATCAACTGCTCTCAAGCTCAATTTTCATTTTTTTAGATATATTTTAATTATTTTTTAGTTAATTTACTTGAAGTAGCAGCAAACAAGCCTTCCTTGTTCGTCAGGTGTACATGTACATGTAGGTGAAATTTATAAGAGAGTATAATTTTCGCAGCTGACACCCTGGAAGATCAAGATGTACAGCAGCTGTAGTATTCATTGTATGAATGCTGCTGGAGAATACCGTTGAAAGGTCCGGATACTTCTTCATGTATTATAACATTGTACATGTACTGTACTGTACGTCAAGGATGAAGGGAAGGCATGCAACATTCAATGGGCGGTACACCGCAGGGCAGCGGCCTACAGCAACAAAAGCAAAAGGTGCAACCTGTGCCTGGCGGAAAAATTGGCAATCGCGCTAGCACACAAGCACCTCTCTCTCAACAAGAGGAGTGAGCTTGTGTCAAAGTGTCGCCACGAGATTAATACAATCATGTACTACCTTCGGAACTTCAAACCATCCAGCCATCAAGTAAGAGACAACTGGCTCCAGTGGTTGTCACCTTTCACCACTGCTGTCATTCGCACTTTTAGATTTGCCCCATGATGCAGTCATTAACGCTTTGCACTGCCACCATTCACAACTTTAGATTTGCGCCATGATGCAGCCATTTACACTTTGCTTTGTGAGTATATAAACCAATACTGATCCAGATTTCTCATTACTGTTTTGTGATGATCGCTTAGTGCGTGAAACTCGGAGTTAAAACACTTTCTCTGTCCTCATATTGTTTGAACCAGCTCTGCCTCTCGGTATTGAGCACTCTCTTTGACAGCCTGGAACCTCTCTGTTTTGCTGTACGTCATTGAGGCTGATGTATTATTATAGCGCTGCCGCACACGATTTTTCAGTGCAGGGTTGTGGAGTACTTTTACAAGTGGTGGCCGTTGCTATCTGGGAGCGAGGGCAAACTATTACTAGCTAGTACAATCATGTATGTAGCTGTTGTTGTCTAGTGCAGTGTTGTCTAGTACAGACTCAGTGTTGAGGCAAACGAAGTGACTGTGAGCAGACAACGTTGTTTTCTGTACAAGTACAAAGAGGGACTGGGCCAGCTATTAGTAACCAGTGTGTCTGCTGTGCAATAATTATGGGTATTGTTGTCGGGTTAGCAGCTGAAGTTCTCATCGATGTGGCTGTTGAAGCCGTCGCCGAAGTGGCCATTGACGCCACTGTTGAGGTTGCGGCCGACGTGGCCGCCGAAGCAGTAACCGCTGCGGGAAGCGACCTAGCAGCAGTGGGAGCTGATGTAGCAGCAGCGGCTGCGGCTGAAACCGTAGCAGGCGATGCAGGAGCGGCTATAGCGGAGACAGCTGCCGAGGTGGCTGTCGAATCAGGAGAAGCAGCCGGCCAAACTGCGGCGGAGAGTGCAGTCGAAGCGGCCGTCGAAAAGGCCACCCAGCGCGGTGCCTCAGAAATCGTTAAGAAAATCGCCAGAACCGTTGTCATCTCGTCGATGGTGGAGGAGCTGATGCGTAACACGCTGAAGATAGCGTGTGCGCTAGGCGCCAAAGCAACCATCACAAAGACACTGGGTCTGATCCATGCTGGAATGAACGATGCCAGAGACAACCTGACCGAATGGAACAAACAGATCAACAAAGCCATAGAGCATGGCAAGCTTCGCGAGCAGCAAACGCTTCCTGACGGCGTCAAACTTTCCCAGGGAAAGCTGTTCAGTGCGGAGATGAACAGCAAAGTGGAGGAATTCCTTAAAGCCGTTCAGCCAAGCATGCTGAAACTGGCAACGGTGAGCAAGAGGGAACGAAGTCTTGGAAAGATAGTGGACGAGCTGAGGCACGTCAGATCCGCGTTCCTCAAGGCTGCCATTTCCTTCTTGTTTGTTGTGGAGACGTGGGATAGAAAGGACACGGACATCAAATCGCAGGCAGGTGTCGACTTTCATCTCCAGAAATTTGCATCCAACATACGAGCAGTCCAAGACTACGTCATATAAGACCGCTCTGACAACACTCCGGAGTCTCTGTCCAACCAACCTAGCCAGAGGAACAGCGGGAGAAACCACATTACCAAAAGGCGGCCAAGGCTCGTACATGTATGTGCATCAATTCTTCAGCGAATGACGTTTGAGCCACTGCATGTATTCTGATTGCGTTGTTATGTAACCTTACTCTATGTTCAAATGGATATCTTTGGATTTTCGCCTCACCCCCTTCAAGCGGCATTTTAGCATGCGTTCACAGCTACGCCGTTACGGTAGTACATGACATGCAGTATCTATCACAATAACTGTGCAGCAAAGTAATGCGTTCGCTCCTGCTTTTCTGGTCTGAAGGTAGTGATGGACTATGGGAATGCTTGTTTCTCCCGACATCTGTGTGTGTGTGTGTGGTGTACATGTACATGTAAATACTATTGTGCAGTGTACACCTGCGCGAGCGTGGGTACGTGTGTGTGAATATTTGACCTGTTAGGTGTCTTTAAGGGTGAAGATTCGAATTTCCTCGCTCCAGCATTTACCCAAAGGAGTGTCCAGTGTATCGCAAAAATACATGACATGCACTATTTTATTTGGCGGTGGACGTTGTTATCACTTCTCCTGTGCCATGCATTTTGTACATGCATGTGCCGGTATTGTATTGCTTGTATTTTACATGGCAAGTCAAACGGGCAATCATGCCCAATGTTATGATGACGATGGAAAGGGAGAAAAGATGAAGAACAAGATTAGATAACCTGGATTTAGAGGAGTGAAGAAAACAGTGAGTCTGGGGGTATTAAATCATAATTTTCGAGATAGTGGTAGCGACTTGGGCGATGATATCATAAGAAAAGTGTTTGCCCCCACACCGGAGTTCGAGCTTTTCCGCCGACTTGACTGGACACTTGACTGCCTCACGACTGCCATCTAGAGATTTTGCGGGGTCGAATGTTCGATGGACGTATCGAACATTCGACTCGGCAAACCTGTATGAAAACATTTTAATTGAGCTTGAGTTGGCCGAGGAAGATTGCGTGTGAAGAGCACCACTTGCATTGCCCTCCAGGCCAGGGATCACCAGGGATACAAACTTACAAAGACGCTCCGGTTCCGGCGCGACCAACACTTCGTGAACATCAGATAGCAGCGTGAGTCTGTGTCGCTCGGGGGCGGTGAGAACAGACGTCGAGGACCCGGCCTCAGTCATTCATTCGCACGGTCCCAACCCATTGTATGTAGGCTTGCACGGAACGCTGCCAGCTGCTCAGGCTACTGCTGTACTGTTGAGATTCAGAGAGTTGTCGGCGTATCTCGCTATGGAGTATTTGTGGCAAAGGATCCACTGCCACACTATCTATCGCTGTACTGTACTGTAGTATTTGCGGTTTTCCAAATACAGCGTTGCAGTACTGTATTGTAGTCAACATACCGGCAAAAGTCCGTGGAACTAAATGCTCAGAAAAACTCGCAGCAAGACGGTCACAAGTAATAGACCAAGTCCAGCTCCTGACAACTCGTACTCTGCATTCGAGTACTAGTACTCACTGATCAGTGATCAGACGTGTCGCTGCATGCACAACCGACCAGTGCCACTACGCCTATGATCATCTAAAAATACCCTTCGCGTCCGCTGTGCGCTAGTCACGGATAGTGCTGGCCGGCATCAGTGTAGAGCATGGTCACCATGGTCACGCTGGCCCATCCCAACTAGTTACTTCCAACGTTAGTCCGGAGCACGCTGACTCGCCTCCCCACCTGTCAGACACCAGCCAAACATCGCAGCCAGTTGTCAAGCTGCGTCGCTCCGCTGTCTGCCATCTACTGATCTAGGCCACACTATGCCATAGTCTAGACTCTAGTCGCAGTCTGTGTCTGCATGCAGTTGCAATGCATAATCAGTTCCAGAATTATCAGTTCCACAAGTATACAGTCATGTAAGCAGTTCTACATGTGCATGTACATGCACCCACTTGTCCAGATATGCGTGATAGAATGGTGTCTGTATAGCTCGCGTTGGGCACCCAATATACCCTCAACACGGTGGGGTGAAAAGGATCAACCAACGCGCGATATCTAGGGAAAATGTGTGACTTGATTTGCTTACCGGTAGTAGATGGGCAGACTACTGTGTCTACACACCACAATCGTGCTGGTGGAAGAGGGAGGTTTGGGGTGGACACACGCCAGGGTATCCACAGCTTCTATCTTGCTAGATGGAACATTTGTACAACAGGCAGGATTTAGGTGTTTCCGCAGGGCCTTTCGAAGAATGTTAGCATGTAATCGCCGTAGCTAGCGCAAAGGTGCATGTATGTATGGGCTGCATGTAACACGTCAATGCATGACATCATCCCCAATGTTCCAAATACAGTACTGTAGTGAATAAGTATAGTGTACGCATGGACGCAAAGAAGAAGGCGTTATCAGCATGCAGTGCACTAGCGGCGCTGCGTGCCCGTAACAAACTGAGTAAATACATTTCTGTTAACATGTTGTGGAGACAGCACATAGCGACAGCGCGTGAGGCACGTACGAAACAAGCACCGCCTGACAGGACTGACCCCGAGTGTCCATCTGCACCCTGACAACTACGTACATGGGTGACAACTGCTTAATTAAGTTAAAACCAAGGTCGTACAAGAGAGATTTGAAATCACCCTAAATACCGTGGACTATTATCGTTACTACACGGAAACCTACTCATCAGAAATGATTGAAATACTGTATTGTAATGCATTGGCATTGTTTATTTTCGGATTCTCCAGAGGTAAATGGATACCTATCTTGGGAGTCTCTCCAAACCTAGATATGATTCAATCCTAATCTGTGCTAGTCTGTGAGTATCCATCACTGTGCATTGGATGCCAGCATGCATGTTAGCCATTACGGTACTATCGCTTCACGGGTAAGCACTCAGTAGAGACTCCCCATGATCAGCAGAATCTTCAGGCTGTCATCCAGAACAGGTGCTGCTTCGGCTGCTACTGCTACTGGTGCTACTGCTACTGCTGCTGCTGCTGCTACGGGTGCAGAGCAAAAACATATAAAAGCGATCCACAGCAGGCCTAACAGCACTGCAGAATCGAAAGAACACTCAAACTTCTTCCTAAACACATCTACTGGCTCCATAATTCTACTTTCGGAGTTCAATTTGTATTCAGCAACACTGTCTGACGACCATGGCACCTCTACAGTTTGCATCGGTGTCGGCTGTTGATCAAGTGCAGCAACATCAGGCATACCCCGGCCTAGCTCCGAACGCAGCAGCATCCACAGTGCTACTCTTCTCGGTGATGCTCCGAGCTGCGCTGTACATCCGTGACGACGGGGAGCTGAGAGTGAATGCCAGCCAGTGTCCAGGACAACAGTATCCGGAGACAAACCGACTTCAACGCTTCTGCGGTCCGCCGGCAGGTGCTGCAATGGACACTCAGGTCAGCTCCATCTGCAAGTACATGTCCCACGATGGCGAGTTCCTTCTGGCTATGGACCTGACTACAGGTATGCTGACAACTGTCCAGACACAACTGCAGAGTCGCGCTGCAGAACACGGTATTTGCGTTCAGTTCGAAGAGGTCGCGATGCCAAGCAGCAACCCTGGTGCTGTACCAGGACATGGCGACTCCGTGCAGCTCGTTGGATTCGCAGACGGACGAGATCAGCACCCAGTGGTACTATCAGGTAGACCAGTAACGGAGATGGACATTTGTCGGACTGGTGTTGAGCCCTTTATGCAGGTGAGAGACTGAACCCTTTCACACACAAAATTCTAGAAAACCTAATTCGAAGTTACAATGTCATGTAGATGACAACGTTAAACCAGTACGGAGCGGTGCATACCAAGACATAAACCAAGGGCCATATGCTCGAGCACTAAGTCAAGAGACCGAGTCTTCTTAGAGGACGTTCGCCTGAAATCATCAATGGGAAACGCAAATACATCAAGCTCGAGGTTGCCTTAAAATTGTCATGCCCAGCTCGTTATCAAGGACATGTAGTGTGTGTCAAACTATGTAGTAGCGGTCTTCACGTGGCAAAAATGGCACTGAGTCTGAGGCTCATTCCTCCACTGTAGATTAGTCGAAGGGATTATTACAACCCCATACACCGGTACATGTACATTGACGCTTCGAAATGTTCAATTATTGGGAGGCCTGTCGGATTCGTGAAAAACACCACATTGTATGGACAGCGATAGTGTTGGAAAGCTTATGCTGCGCTGGCCAAAACCATAAAGTGTCCAATGCATGATCGCACAATGTCCTCCATTCCCATCATGCCAGATTATCTACTGTCTACTGACGGTCCACTGTATTGGTAAAATGTGTTTAAAAACACACGAACACTATGCGTTCAAAAGTCAAATCTGATGCATGGTTCGTTTCATTCTCCCCAACTCGCAGGTGACCAGACGCGACGACAACACTATGGCCGAGGCTCGCCATTTCGTCATCGTCACTCCAGGTGATGTCATCAGACACTCCGCTAGTCAGCACCGTCCAGAACAGCAGCAAGAGTGTGGCGATCAGATTCGTTCCTCGTATCCGTTGTTGTGGAGTTCAGATACAGTGTGTGCTGACAGTGAGGATGATGGTAGTGACTATGATCTGGATGATGATAATGAAATGGAGATGGCAAACGAGAACTCGATCGTGTTTTCTAACACTACATAGCTACGTGGATTGTAATACACGTACATTGTACAATGTCCATGCACATGTTCATTATGTACATCGTATTCCGTAGTCATGCACTTCTACATTCGCCCTTAACCTGCTGTTGCACAGCGCTCCGGTTAATTCGCATTCCAGTGTCGTGCCAAACACATCATTGGCCATATTGCTCCGTTGTTATTGAGGGTCCCTAAACTCAAACATGGTCTCTTTGCTGCTTACATAACTTGAAATGTTCATTAATTTTAGAAAAGTGACTGAGAGTGACTAACAATATAATAACAACCTTCCTGTTAGAATCCCGAAACCATTTTTGTTTTACTATTATCATCTGTGCAGTATGAAACAGACGCCTTCTGCCATGATTTCTTCCATCACCTAAACTCAACATTTTACTTGGCATAACTGCAGACTCTTGGTTCTCCAAACTAACCACTGTTGGTTCTCTAACGGCTTGGCTTACGTTAGTTCGTCTCACGCACACTACAACATGTAATGAGGCTTGTTCTACTTGTTTTACACCATGCTGCATAACACATTCCTCAGGTTGTGTAGACTCCACCTTAGCCTATTCATGTCTCACACAACTATTGTATACATATTAATCACTACCCAAAACGGTCTTCCAAGATGGGCCTGGCCTGAAAAGTTGAATAAAACTAAACTTTTGTGGAAGAATTGTATCATAGAGACCGGTTTGGGTAGTGGTGCATAATTGTGTTTGACCAGGAATACTATAACCAAGAAGAGTCCATAACCCCCCAGAGTGTGCAACTCGTGATCCTTCTCAGCACAAATCAGTGCCGCAACGAAATCCAAACTTCATACGTCATGTAGTGAGTAGCTATGACGAAATGGGAAGTTTGGCTCGGACCTACTTCGCCCGTTTGCCCAATTTGGGGTCTTTCTTTACGAATCCACGGCCAGGTATTGTACGTAACACGCCTGGAAAGGCTCAAGTTCACAAAGAATTATTTTAGAGTTGTCGAACAGTTTTCTCGTTTGAGTGTCTCTCCGATAAGAGAAGAACAATGGCCACTGTTGAACCTAAAGCAAAGCGCTCCCCATTGTCGCCGGAGTGCAGTGTGCAGTGCCAAAATGGGACTGAGGAGCAGGTTGAAGCACATGCACTTCGAAATCGATCGGGTCTTCATGCCGTGTGCCAAGAGCTATTTCCATCAAATCTTGTAAATCTATATCCATGCCTATTCTTGCTATCCCGGAGTCACGAACTCTCCCAATACAAGCTTTTCAGACAACGAGCAGAGAAACTTTCTTCAAATAAAAAAATTCTGTGACTGTGAAATCAAAGCCGTTCTGCTGACACTGCATAGCCCGTGGAGCAAACGTTTTACGTGACACTTCCGTGGCTTGCGTCAAAGCAACCTTCAACTTGGAACCCCCGCCGGATGTACCAGATATGCACATGGCCCCATCCGCCCATGCTTGCCCGGGGACCGGATGACGCAATGTTTGGATTTCGTTGCGCCAGACCCCAACCTGGAGTTGCACACTCTGGGGGGTTATGGACTCTTGCTATAACTTAAAGGGGAAGTCCGGTGAAAAATTTAAATTTCACAGTCCGTAGAGTTCGAGTCGCTGAGTCGAATGGTCTTTGTCCGAGGAGGCTGCGGCTTATGGTTCGTCAGATACGCCCAATCGAACATGTGCGAATTTGAGCGCGCATCACCCAGATCCAGGTGATGACGTCACAGCGTGCAGCCAGGTTGCCACACCATCTAGTTGTGTACAAAAATGGTCATATTCGGAGCGCGTTCGATTGGGGAACTGTTTGTCGCAGCTTCTTCGGACCAAGACCATTCGATTCAGTGTTACAAACACTACATACCCTGTGATTTTCAGCTCGGTAAACCTCGAGGTTATACCGTATTTTAGCCGTTTCCGAGTTGGACTTTTTCCGTCAGCCTCCACGCGCTGTGCGCTGCGTGCATGCAGTGCGTGCAGTGTGTTATCTAGCTAGCTGTGGTGCAGTCAACAAACTCATCACAGACGGAACTACTCCCGCACTGCCGTGCTGGGGTAGTATCTACAACAAGACTCGAGTCACAACTGACACAAGACTCAAACTAGTCAGCACACGGACTTGTCATGTACTACACTCGTATCAGTCGTATTGTACAGTCATGTAGTCAGAGAACGTGCGTTTCTCCTTGCCGGTGCCGGTGATTGTGCTTTGAGAAAGAAAATTTTAGTTTTCCGCTCCCGCCTCATTATTTTATGCTACAGCGATGCCGGAGTGCACAACCGTGACAAGTGACAAAACAGGGAACAGCTCCCGGACCTAGAACTGTCAGATTCCATAGCGTTGCGAGCGAAGAGTCGTGCCCGTGGTTCAAAGAGCCTGCACTGTTCTCCAAATGAGCAGTCCGAAATATTCCAAGTTCGCACCAAAACATCACCATGTGGCAGGCCACTGGAGTCTAAGCGAATCTAATCGGTATGGAACAACATTTAGAGCACTCGCATCACTCTTCTCCATTTTGGCGACCCTGCTCTCCAGCGATCTGATAATTCGTCAGCCTCGTCTGCAATAGCTGCTGCTTCTTCATCAGTCGGAAACTCAGTAACGCTCACTCTTGACGGGCCCGCGCGGCCATTTCTTCAGCTGAATACCGAGGTTCTCAGCCCCAGACCGAACTCATGAAGGTCAGCCATGGCTGCATCCTCACTCTCACAAGGAGTTACAGGTCTTCGGGGTCGCTTGCACCACCAAATATCAGTCGCCAAATCATTTGAAATAGCACTGACACTATTGCTTTCACGCACTCCTTTTGACCTAGCTGCACGCTATGACGTTGCAGAGGGTGTGGCGCGGCCGCATGACGTCATGGCGCAGCCCCCGAAACTCAGTTTTTCAAACGGAAATATCTCGAGAACGCTTTGTCGGAGACACGTGGGACCAACACCATTCGACTCAGCGCCCGAAACTCTACCAACCCTGAAATTTAAATTTTTCACCGGACTTCCCCTTTAATAACTTATAAGACATTAAGAGTGTATGGTTTAATAATGTACTGAACTCCGTTGGTTGCTGTACATGTGCTCTTGACACGTTGAGTCTTGACACGTCCTCGTCACACTGTACTGTGGTGTTAGGACGTGTGGACGGCTGAGCTGTCAGTATGTATCTGACTGATGAGCACGATGGCTGGGATGCTAGACAACGTAAAACGAAAACGTTCTCCATTGCAAGAGAAGGCACAGTCCACGACGTGATCAACTAACATGTCAGTCCTCCACGGCGCCATCAAAGCCCTACCAAATCTCTGCTGAGTTGCGACCCTAGCCGTATACAGGTGGTTACTAAGGTGCGCAGGTTATGTGCTCTGGAGACGGAGTGATCCTGAGCGAATCATCAGATCGACACAAGAGTAGAAGAGGACTTAGGTCAAGTTAGGAGTGGACGATTTAAAGATGTTAGTGAATATTAACTTACTTCTAGAGTGAATCGGAAGTCATGGCCACTATGCATCCTTGCTAATACTAATATCAACGTTTAGGGTACAGTGATGTATAGGAATAGTCCATCCACTGCTGGCTGATGGCCCGAGGTAGCACGTAGATCGTTGTCTACTACAGTGGTAGTCAAAAGTCTCGAAACCCTAAGGCTTAGGTGAAACGGCAAAAGTACAGCACAGCAATAGCAATAGCAGCAGCAGTCGACTGTTGCAAGCAAGGGTCGCACTGCCCTAAATAGTGTCGCTGCACAATACCAATACTGCAATAGCGCTTGCGTTCAACTAACTTACATTAATCATACACACACGGCTGGGCTGTTTTAGGTGGCCACGTGGTCGCAAGCATCACATAAAAGTTGTAACACATGCATCGGCCCTTGCCAGGCACCGGTAGGCTACTCGGCTTATCGGCAGAAACACTACCGTCTTAGTGCTGTCCAATCATGTAGCTGCACTGCAAATGCAGCGCAGTGCTCACCACTGCAGCCATCTCCCATTCCTGCTTTCCAATTACTCAACGACTGTATTATGCGCTACTATTGGAGCCCAAACTGGAATCTAGCACATAGATATTGGCACTCGTTTGACATGCACCAATCCCTTCCTATGAAAGTGCGATATGATGAGGAAGGGCGATCACACGCTCTGCTCAGCATGCACTTGAAGTATTTTGTCAGTTTCACACATGCCTGCCTAGCGTCTTGTGCAATTCGTTATCGCTGACCGCTGCTGCATTTGCACTTACAGTAACCTATCCCTGGTGGAAAAGGAGGCAAGGAAGATAGTTGGCATCGCGTGAGACACCGTGTCATGTGTCAGAACCTACATTGTGTGACGTAGCAGTTATATCAGTTTCTGCGTCGTGGTTTAGAGCTAGCCTAATAGTAATACTAGTATTAGTAATACTGAACATCTTTCTTGTTGCTGCATGTGCCAGCACCTGCAAGGCCTAACCGGTCTAGCTAAAAAGCTCACTTCGACTTACCAGCGGACACGAGGGCACATGCTGGTGACCGACGGGACAAATGAAGTCTCTTCTGCCAACAACCGTCTTCGCAGACCCAACCCTGAACGACTGACAGCCACAGTTCGAGCAGAATGATGTCTATTGTCACAAAGGACCTTCTCTGACACAAGTGTGCGGTGGCGTTGAAGCGCCAGGATCGACAAAACTATGGCGAGGAAAGAGGACCTGTTGGCCTCCTGTGTAGCTTCGTGGATTCTCCTCCTTCTACTGGGTGCTGTCAACTCTGTGTCCGCAGCGGCCACTCCAGGTAAGTGCTTCTGCCAGTGCAGAATTCACCGCTTCATTTCCTACCGAGAATTTCATGTCTCACATCCTTTCACAGGGCACCTTATTGTAGTCCTTGTGTCTTGCGCGAGGATATCTTAAATTGGTGTTTGATGAGATATTCATTGGTTGTGAGGAACGGATGCGAACGGGAAAGGCCTGAAGAAGACATTGACTGTCACCACCAGGACTCGAACCAGGGACAATCGCTTGAGGCCAGCGATGCTCTAACTAAGTTCGGTACATGCATAGTGTAGGCTGTAGCTGTCATCCCAGCAGAGACCGTTCAACTTTTTCTTCAGACTTATTAATGGGATTCTCTGGCACGATTGGGTGTTTTGTGGCTGCTTGAACTCGTGAATATCATTTCCGCGGATTTAGTTTGATAGACGTGTCGCGAAGCCTGTCGTTCACATGACTGTATCAAAGGAGGCGAAACCGCCTGTTTGTGGTGCGATGTACAATAAACTTCAACAGCAACCTTCTCCCTGCAACGAAAACAGTCACTAATGCTGCTACCGTTCAACACTGCCGTCAGACTCGTCACATACTGTAGTTATTGGCTTCGTTCTCAAGTTCACTCACATGTGACATTACCAACAGAGGATACATGCAGATACCGTGTCAAGTGCAGCTAGCCCCAGTTTCCCTCACAGTTTTCTATCATTTTCTTGAGCTTTTATTTTAACCCATCAACCAAAAAACGAGCAGGGTGCCCAAAAAAAAGAGAGCTATTCGTACCGCCATCAGCATGATATTCTTCTGCTACTTTAGCTGGAGAAGAAAATAGCTGTCACGTGACTTGCCATTCAGTGCCCTTTCACAGATAGAATGGATACTGCTCATGACACCCTTGCAGGCTATCTAACGTTTTCGTCGCCAATATACGGTTCCCACCTCTGTGTCAGGTCAGCGTAGTGCTTAGCATTATAGCAAGGCCACAACTGGGACAAGCAATGCATAACGCACCAGATGTTTGGACAAGTAGAATGGGGCCTGTTGACAGTGACATCGCCAGCTGATTGAACGTGGCTTCTTGCTCCTGGATAAGATCAAGGGTAGGAACTATTGCGCAGGTCGTCGGGCAGTACATGTATGTGTGCGACGCTTTTGATTATTATCACTACTGCATTATGAGACACCACCTGAGTGAGGCTGGGCGTGAGTTAAAACTCTGGTCGTGATGCAGAGGCGACTGGCACCTGGAGTAGTGCAAGTCGTGCAAGCAAGCATCGTGGCTGGGCAACATGTTTACGAATTTCGTACTTCAAGTACAGGTATAACCATTCCCTGTGCTGTGTGGGAGTTATGGTTGTGATGTTGAGGCGACTGGCACCAGTGACCTGAAGTAGGGCAACTGGCGAAGTCGTGCAACCAATCATCGAGGCTTGGGCAACAATTACATTGCACTGTACATGAATAGAACTATTCACTGAATAGAAAATTACTATACTGTACTTCGCAGTAGCTCTACTCTGCTTTGTGGTATTCTCCCAACTCGCCAGATAGCCCAAGATGTCCTTTCCTTGTATTCTACACGCAATCCATAAAATACAAATACAAATACAAATCTGGCTAGGCTTGGGTCGGGCCGGATGGTTGCAGCTGCACCACCCATACTATCCGTGGACATTCTGCATGCAGGAGTCCCGACCGCGATCCAGTGTACTGTACTGTCTGTACTGTAGATCTACTGCCACACACGAGTAGATCTACCGGTATTACACTCAACTATCTGTGCTGGATGTAGCGCTGCTACTGTGCTACTGCTAGCAATCCTAGCATGCATTGATTGTTCTCAGCAGCGCATGACCGCATGTACATGTAGATCTACGGCCGTAGATCTACGGGTTTCCCCACGCGGCCCACGGCCACGAAACGTCACGTCAGAACATGTACATGTACATAAAAAAAGAAAGGAAAAGAAAAACCAGTCGATCCAGATCTACTAGTATCCGCGATCCGTAAAAAATACCACCGTAAATCTACCTACAAAATACAAAATACAATGCGTTTATCCGCTAGTAGGGATCTCAGCGCGTGCACTGCGCATGCAGTTCGCGCATGCAGCCAAACGCGCATCAGAAGTGGCATGCAGAATTTTTGCCAAACACTGGCTATTTTTTGCAGAAAATTGAGACCTTGAACGAAGGAGAAATGGCTGAAATTTCCTTGCAAGGAGATGGTGGTTACAGGCTACCTGCTTACCAGAATGGGATCTTGTTTGGTATGTTGGCCGCCCACGTGTTCTGGAATCGATTTGTAGTTTTCGTTGGAAGGCGCGAAGCCGTTTTCGTTCCAAACGACAGGGTTCTTTCAGAGCGGAAAATGGCGACCATGCCGATCGTTGCCACGATCTCCGAGTTGAAAATCTCTGGATTTAACCGGGGAAAAGCTCTGGATTCAACGGTAAACCCGGCAGAAATACTTGATGTTGGATGTTGAGAGTTTGCAGAAAATTTGACCGAAGCGTTCATGCTCCACGTGACGGTGTTCGTTCTTGTGAATTTCTGCATTTCTGACATATCGCCGTGCATATGGGCCGTTGTTCCAGAGACATCGATTGTCAGGTGTGGACAGGGTTTTGTTCGAGTAGTCGTGTGGAGACGTGGTTTGGTTCTCACAGGCAACAGGAGCGGCTCCTCGGGATGGCGAAAGCCAAATCTACCCAAAGCCGACTTCACGATCGCCGATCTTCTGGCGGCGCATTTTCACTTATGCTATGCAACAAGCGGCACAAGCTGTGGAAATCGTCAGATGATATTAGCCTATCAGTGTGCCCAGAACTTCTAGTGACTCTACTGAAGCATTAGCTTGAGTAATCTTTCTTTCTAGCCCTCTCTTTCTCTCTCTCTCTCCCTCTCTTTCTCTCTAAAAATGTTCCAAACTTCAAAATCTAGGTCGAGCTGCATCGGGGAGTCGTCAAATACCGACTCACTGAGCTGGTTTTTGGCGATCGCCATTTTCTTTCAGTCTGCCATCGCCGCGTTGAAAAATCGATTACATCATTGAATGCGCAAAGCCCTGCGCAGTGTCCGCGCTGACATCCCTACCGCTAGCATTATTATATCAATCAGGACCTGTTTGTTTTGCGAGGCGGTAGCTCGCTCGCCTAGTGAGAGAACTGGAATGGCTTCGGGACGACGCGATGGAGTCTGGCTGGACCTTTCGGTAAAGTTTGCTATTATTACAAGATTCATTCATTCGCGTAGTTTTTCTTTACACAAAACAAAGATCTGATGCAGGAATGGTCTAGCCGCGCCGAGACGCTCGGTAATGCTGGGCCAGCTCTCTAGAGATGTCAACTTTCTAGGGAGTCAGCTGGTACTTGAAGGTCTACAGTACTTGCATGACATGCTAAGGGTGTGTGCAGGCCAGAGCAACGCCACACACTTGCCAGAAGATGTGGAGGGATGATAGAAAGTTTTCTAAACAGTTTGCTGTGAGTGTGATATCACAAAATGAAAAAAAGTGACAACACCATTGCACAGACGGAGTGAAGGGATGCACATGGAATATACGCGAGAAAAAAATGGTCATAATTTTTCGTAGATATGGGCCTCGTTTCACGGGCTAAATAGACCAATGCATCGTATAATAATTATCGTGAATGATGACTGGCATACAATATAGGGGAAATCACCCTTGAAACCTCTGGAAACCTTTATCACTGGTACGTAAATTGGGGAGCATTACTACATGTATATACGATCGTAAACATATGCGCTAGGTACCATGGTTACTGGACATGCACTGTTTAGATCCGGCCACCGGAGTAGCCAGCCACACTGGGTACATGGCTGTAGCTAATGGGGTTTCTCGGCACTTGTACCAGTGGCTGTGAGACTTATCCCCATCATCCTCACCATTAGGCGCTGCATCTGCCGCTAGGGTTTACGGGGTGTTAGCGGCCGTCGTGAGTTACCTTCGGGCACGGACACGATAATTTACTTTACTTTACCGGAGCTCTTCAGCAGGACTGTAACATGCAGACCAAGACCTGCGGACTGGAGCCTGCTCAGGAACCAGCCCGGGCAATCTAACTTCATAGGCGATTTTGGGAATTTCTCGCCTTCGGGAGAGGCAGCACTAGACGTAGTGAGCACACACGGTATGAACGTGCCACGTCCTTCTCCTGGAATCAGTATTGAAACAGTAGGGCATCCCGCAGTTGGGGCGAGAAAGATACCATTGCATCAGGATGAAATGTGCTGATATTGAAGAAAGCGTCTTGAGTTCGGTTACAGAAAGCACGAGGACGTAGAGGTGAATGGAGTTTTTACTGGGTGAAGTCACACTCACGCTGCGGGCGTGATCATAGCTTCATGGCCTGTAGCCTGCTGGATGCCCGGTCAAGTGGTGTTAGTCTGGGGTGGTTGCAGTGCTTCTGTTGTGGGAATTGAAGGGGTGATGTACGTGCATTAATGCCCCACGAACGTGTACACCCATTTTTTGAAAGCTAAATGGCCAGTTTTAGAGCCCGTTTCATTGGGTAGCGCTTTGCCACACAATTGTCGTACCGAAGCTTTTCAATTCATAAGCCCGAGAACTGTGTGATCTGAATTTGATTTAGTTGAATCCACTGAGTATCCTGATGTTCTTGTTGTCCATCAGGCACACAAAGGTGACAGATTATCTTGAGGGAAACTCCGACAATACCAATGAAAGTGACTACTCAAGCTTTCGGACTTCAATTCTGGGGACTTTTAGTGCAGATCCATGTGCCACGTTTCGTACCAATGTTCATTATTATTTTCTTGTGTGATCTCTCTCCCTTGTCACTTACAGGAGAAACACCAACGTTTGTCATCGAAGCATGTCTGCAGGATCAAGGCAATTTCTCACAGGTGCTCAGCCACAAGTTGGCCGCCATCTCGGAGATCATGCGCCTGTCTGATGCACAGCGCACTCCCGCCGGTGAGAGCTGTGGCTTTGGTGGAGCGTACTTTATACTGGTTTCTTTGGCCTCTTGCACGTCATCACAGCACATATGTTGGGAATCATTTGTTTATATTTTTAAGGCAGAAAGAGTAAGCCGCCTCTCTTACACACAAACCACCCCAAGTCATTGTGATTTATCTGTACAGAGATGTTAGGATGTGAATCGCAGGGCGAATATCTGATCTATTTTTACTAAACGAATATTGCTGACTCCGGAAAATACGATATTCAACATCCCGACTCTCATGATAGGACCCAGGTGGCTGTGTGGGGTGTTTGAGGTACAAATTACGTCATTGCGTAATGGGCTTATTGAGACAGAGCGTTGCCTGGATGCTCTGTATGCGTGTCATGTTGCTTGCAGCGTGCGCTGCTGCGTGTGCCTCGCTGGGCTTTCACCACGCGGGTATTCGCAATGACTGGGAGTGCTGGTGTGGCGAGGACACGCGCTACACGGCCGAGGCGCAGTGCAACAAGTGCCAGGGTGACGACAAGCTGCTGTGCGGTGGCCTGGGCGTGATGGCACTGTACGATTTAGACCATGGTAAGTCTTGTGTCCGGTCTGCAAGGCACGCAGGAGTTCATTGCGGGACAAGATAAGGACTAATTTACTTTTACAAAGAGCATGCACGTATACTACAGATGAGGGAGAGAGAGACAGTACGGAGAGAGACAGTATGGAGAGAGACAATACGGAGGGAGACAATACAGTGACAAACACTGTTCACTACTGTAAGGGCAAGCGGCTTCAAGTAATGGTTCGTGTGCATAGTCTGAGGATCTCTAGCATGTGAATGAGATCCCTGTACGTCATGCTTGCAAGACTGAACATGTCATTTACTGAAGTATTTCTCATTCTCTGCCTCTCTCTGCCCCCCCCCCCCCCCTCTCTCCCTCGCTCTCATTCATTGTGTCTTATTTCAGAGTGGCCGAGTTTCCGATACAATGGCTGCTTTCGTTACGAGACAGCCCAGGACATTTCCAATCTCTTACCTCACACCCAGTGGACTACGTCCGAAGCAGCTCACTGGTCACATCAGCTGCGTCAACCGGCTGTCTGTGTCAAATGGTTAGTACCATAGGGAGATGGTGATGTGGCAGATTACTCTAATTTCAGAAATTTATGTGCTCACTATTTTCGGTATGAGGGCAAAAGGCCAGGTTAGGTGAACATAAAATTTCGGTACAGAGAAGTAGCTCCCTATTGGATTACGTGTGTTAGAGTTTGTTCGGTGAATTGAAAGTTCAGGTATGAAACAAGTGCACCGAAAGTACCGAAAAGAAAAGTACACCGAAAAATTGTGAAACTACAGTAGACCATTTGAGACACATCAAACTGAAGACGCTGGATGGTGTTTGGTTGTGTGTGCGTCTGTATCAGGTGTCTGGAAAAGGGGTTTCGCTTCGCCGGTTGGACTCACGTCTACGAGTGCCACTGCGGCCTGTTCGTGCCAGACGTTACCGAGGCAACCTGTGATCCGTGCTTTGCCGACCGACGTTACCTGTGCGGTACCAGAACCCAGATTGCCATCTATGAGGTGGTCCAGGGTAAGTGGCTGAGCAACGGAGCGGTGAATAAAACAAGTAGAGTTAACGGTATTTACGGCCGCATCACCTGGCGTGTTGAGGAACACATCAAGCAAATACATTCGCGCGGGGAATGACACACTGAAAAGCCCATTTCAACATGTGCTTGTTTTTTTCTCCTATAGCGCAGGCTGAACTGCACCCATGTATCATCAATTGGATACATGTATATGGGTGCAGCACACAGAAATTAAGCTGAGCCTGCTACTGCTGTGGACATTGAAATCCGATGGGATAGCCGGTGCCGGCACCGTTACTGCTTTTAGCGCGTACACTGCACTGTAGTTCACATGCACACTGTAAGAAATGGACCAGCAGTGCTCGCGGCTGCAAGGCCAGCGCTCTGTGGCCGCTTGACTTCACAACGGATTTCTATGTCCGCTACAGCAGCAACACGATAATATTTACTGATCCTCTTACATGTACATGTATGTGCTAATTGGCTCTGAAAAGGGGAAATGAATTCCCTTTCCTTTTTCAGTCCTTCTGCCTGAATGGCCATGATATGAATGTCTGGGCACTATACTGTTGCAGTTTTGTAGACCTGAAGGATACCTTAGCATGTTCATCTCTGTCTCACTCACTTACTCATTCACTCTCTCATTTTTTCTCTCTCTCGCTCATTCTCATTTTTACTCTCTCTCTCTCTCTTTCTCTCTCTCTCTCTCTCTCTCTCTCTCTCTCTCTCTCTCTCTCTCTCTCTCTCTCTCTCTCTCTCTCTCTCTCTCTCTCTCTCTCTCTCTCTCTCTCTCTCTCTCTCTCTCTCTCTCTCTCTCTCTCTCTCTCACTCTGTCTCTCTGCTCTCTTTCCTCCCTGTTTCTATTCACCCTTCTCTCACTGCGTCCATGCATAGATCCACCGAGGGCACAGATATGCGGTGGTGAGAATCACACAGCGGTGGCGGGCTATCCCATCGGCTTGCACTGTACGGCGGACGGTGATAGTCCAGTGGTTGTTGCCTGGCATCGTATGCGGGGCAACGACAAGAAAGCACCTCTTGGGGATGCCACACATATCCTGGCAGTGACAGGTATGGGCATACATACCTGGTCATTTTCTCTTTTGGAGCATTGTTTTTAATCCTCCAGCTTCACTCGTTGTTGATTGACTAAATCACTTTGCATTTATTTCATCTTTCCATGCCACATAACAAGGTGCTGCATGGTGAGCCAATCGCTGGAGGGCTAAAGGAAACATGAGATTGTGTTGTAATGACGGGATGTAGAACTGCAAAACGTGCAAACCCCCCCTCTCCGTCTGCGACACACACATGGACATGAGCACATACATGCACACAGGCACACACTCGTTTTCAGCTTTGGCACTGTGTTCGTTCACTCTCTAGTGTTATGCTCTAGGAAGCTGGTCACGACAAGAAAGTCCGGTTTCACCAGTTTTACAATAATTGTTGCACTTTGCCAAAGTATAGATTGTGCGTTGGACGCCCTATGCTTCTGCAAATCCCGGTGCCCATCATGCTGCGCATGTGGGTATGCATGCGCCACTCAGTTGATCCTGGTTTGCGTGCTCGTTGAAAGGCGTCTCTGTCGCGTGCTGCACTTGGGAAAACAATATGGTATTGGAAATCAAGGATATTCTGTATACTCCTTTAAAACTCTGTATATATTTTTTCGTATGCAATGATGTGCATGGAATTTAAATGGATACCGAAACCATGGTTAATGTACAGAATGTATAGCTGATACTGGTTGTTTGTGTAAGAATGTTTTGTGGATATCAATGGACTTAATGCTCTTGATTTGCAGTAATTTCTGTTGTTCTTGGTTTGCTGTTTGGTTTGTTGTGATGCAGGTGATTTGACAATTCACAACGCGAAGAAGTCCGACGAAGGCCTGTATGTGTGCGAGGCGAGCAATGAGAATATGCTGAGCAAGTTGCAGAGATCGCACACCCAAACCGCTCGTCTAACTGTTCAATGTAAGTAAAATTTAAAAGAACCTGTCGCAAACCAACGCTCAAGGGACCGAACCCACTCTCAAGGGACCAAACGTGTATATTTGCTTCAGGGAGGTGCCCTCAGCACATAGAGGTTGTAGTGATTTGATTGAGGATGTTTGCTACGGGGGATTCTTGTCCTCTATGTGAATGTGGGTTTTGTGAAAGGTGCCCTTTGTGAGAGGTGTGTGAGAGGTGTCCCTTGCTAAAAGGTGTCCCTTGCTAAAAGGCGTCCCTTGCTAAAAGGCGTCCCTTGCTAAAAGGCGTCCCTTGCTAAATGGTGTCCCTTGCTAAAAGGTGTCCCTTGCTAAACGGTGTCCTTTGCTAAGAGGTGTCCTTTGCCAAGATGTGTCCTTTGCCAAGAGATGTCCTTTGCGAGAGGTGTCCTTTGCTAAGAAGTGTCTTGTGTAAGAGGTGTCCTCTCTGAAATGTTACCTTTGCATAGTTTATGAGAGATACACCCGTACATCGACGAATAACTTGCATACGTTTGTGTCTGCGCATGTATGTGTCTGCGTAATGTATGTCATTGTTTTGTGTATGTGTGCAGTACCGCCAACGGCTCATCTCAGTCTGGACAACAATGGCAAAACCCTACTGTACGGTGAGACGGCAGTGCTGAGATGTCAGGTTAAAGGTGACGCACCACTCATCGTGCAGTGGTTCTTCAAGGGTAAACGGCTCGACCCCAGCTCATCGGCCAAGCACATCGTCCGCAACCAGATCGGCAGTGCTGTCGTCTCACTGGAGGTGTTCAACGTTAGCTCTCTTGATCTTGGCGAATACGCTTGTGAGGCGACCAACCCAAAGATTATCCTGCCTCAGGCACGTGTTCGTCGTCACAGCATGGAGCTAACGGCTCTAGATAACACTGTTATCATTCCCAAATGTAAGTGCATGGTTGGCTGTTTTCCATTGGTGCTTTGATTGTAATGAGCAATGGACTCGAGCGACATGGATGCATTAATCTGAAGGTACAGAGTAAATGGCTGGAGGACAAGGAGAGAGAGAGAGAGAGAGTGTGTGTGTGTGTGTGTGTGTGTGTGCGTGTGTGTGCGTGTGCGCGCGTGTGTGTGTGTGTGTGTGTGTGTGTGTGTGTGTGTGTGTGTGCGGTCAATTCATCAGCCTTGCAAGCTGTTGAATGGTGTAATCCCAGCACAAGTTGCTATGTCTAACATAGCTGTTCGCTATCATCGCTTCCGCGATGGGCATGTCTGAGGTCTGAGGTGTGTGTGTGTGTGTGTGTGTGTGTGTGAGAGAGAGAGAGAGAGAGAGAGAGAGAGAGAGAGAGAGAGAGAGAGAGAGGGAGGGAGGGAACGAGGGAAGGAGTGAGGGTGGGTGGGAGGGTGGGAGGGAGGGTGGGAGGGAGGGAGAGAGAGAGAGATAGGGAGGGAGGGAGCGAGAGAGTCAGAGACAGAAACAGAAATACTGGCACTGCGTGGATGAGGCCAATGTCCGTGTTCGCTGGCATCACTACAACTGCTGTACGCAAAGCATAACATTTGTCTTTACGCTTGTGCACTGTTCCTTGTGATCTCCATGCAGATATGCAGCCACCATCAGATATGACAGTCAGCGACTCGCAGGACGTGGTGGTCAAACAAGCCGGTGTTGGTTTATCCGTCGGAGTTATCGTGCTGGTGGTAGTGCAGGTTTCTCTCATCCTGCTCATCCTCACCGTAGCCATTTTCTATCGTTACAGGAAGTACAGGGACGAGAAGGACCTGTATAACGTTAATGCAGATGTCAAAGGTAAGGCGAGTGGCCGCTGTGTAATCTAAGACAGAAACATCTGCGTGTGTGTGTGTGGGGGGGGGGGGGGTGCATGTGTGTGTGTGTGTGTGTGTGGGGGGGGGTGCATGTGTGTGGGGGGGGGGGGGTGCATGTGTGTGGGGGGGGGGGGGGGGGAGGGGGTGCATGTGTGTGCGCGCACGCGCGCGCGCGCGCGCGCGCGTGTGTGTGTGTGTGTGTGTGTGTGTGTGTGTGTGTGTGTGTGTGTGTGTGTGTCCCATATGGTGCAGTGGTATGTGCAGTCGATTTCCAATCGAGAGGTTGCGGGTTCAATTCCCGACGATTATGGTCGCACACGTCTTTCTTCTCTTTCTCGGACTCTTCATGACTTTTCTTTCATTCTCCTGGGTGGTTACCAACAGCCAGTGTATGCCGGAGTATGTGGTGTGGTTGTGTGTAGAAAAAAAAATGGAAAAATGAAAAATAGGGATTCACTGGCCAGAAAAAGTCACTTCAAACAGCTGTGTGGTGGATACCAGGCTAAAAATAGTGGCGGTCAATTCATCAGCCTTGCAAGCTGTTGAATGGTGTAATCCCAGCACAAGTTGCTATGTCTAACATAGCTGCTCGCTATCATCGCTTCTGCGATGGGCAGGTCTGAGGTGAGGTGTGTGTGCGTGTGTGTGTGTGTGTGTGCTAGTTCGGTTGGTGGGTACACTTATGCCAGATAGTGTTGGGCCTGTTGCCAACGGGCTCGGCTGCTTGAAGGTGTATTGTTGTACCTACCACCTTTGTTGGTTTCAGGGTTCATATACTTTCTGTTTGAAGTATACATACCTGTTAACCATGGACTGCTTCTGGCTAGATTAACTCTTGTGTAATCAATGGTGCTAGTGAAGCTTATATCAGATCCACTCTGATTTAGCCACCCACACTAGTACCAAGTATTACCTTCACTGGGGGCAGGGGTACCTGCAGTTGGATCCCGGGACGGATACCCTGATGCCGTCAATCCTTTTTCTGCTCCTTGTCCTCACCCACTTACTGAGGTGTGGTGAGCCCATAAGTGGGATCATTTCAAGTCCACCCTAGTTTGGGGATTTCAGGGGGTGTCGGCCGTTGGGTGGTTCAATGGCCAATTGAGTCATCTTTCCAAGATTCCTTTTGAGTCTCTCTCCCCTCTCCCGGGGAGACCCACGTGACCAGTTTTGGCAGTGAGCAAGTACAAGTACAAGTGTGTGTGTGTGTGTGTGTGTGTGTGTGTGTGTGTGTGTTGGGGTTGGAAGGGGATGTGCAGGGCTTGTTCTATTCTATCCACTCATGGCAAGAGTATGGAGAGAATAAGAGGGGACAGCTAACAATGGACTGCTGAGCAACGTTCAGGCTAAAAAGATCACCAACATGTAAAATAATCTGGTAGGCTTGGCACAAGGCTTCAAAAAACGCTTGTCTATTATTTTATGTAGCACTGCGTATTCAGTGTTTTATAAAATGCTGCTCAATGGAATTGGGATCAAGTGAGTGAAGTATGTGCCGGCCGCTGTGCAACTCTAGACCTGCGAACAATGGGATTTTCACTGGTGCAGGGAGCAAAGATGACTCATTCGGTCGGATTTCATTGAGCAGCACTGTACAGTAAACCTGTAAGTAAAGACCACCGTGACTAGCGACCAGCCTGCTACTACAGACCACCGTGACTAGCGACCAGCCTGGTACTACAGACCACCGTGACTAGCAACCAGCCTGGTACTACAGACCACCGTGACTAGCAACCAGCCTGGTACTACAGACCACCGTGACTAGCCACCAGCCTGCTACTACAGACCACTTTGCCAGGCACGGACGGTCTCACATTCATATGTGGTTGTGTGGTGCGAACCTCTAACTAAGGACCACCTGCCACTAAAGACCGCTTTCTCTGGCCCCAAGGGGTGGTCTTTAGTCACAGGTTTTACTCTACTATGTGAATGTACAAGTGCAGAATAGGAACAAGCCAGCTTGTGGCTAGCTACATCGCTAGCCTGGTATGGACACCTTTATATTCAGTGCCCAGTATTACTCATACCCCCTCCCCTCTCCCAGGTTCAACTCTGCATTTCTTAGACTTTGCTATGGGATCCGCTGACGGTGGGAACTCACATGACATGTGCCAGTGTTCACACTCAGTGTGCACTGCATCTTTTTATCATGGGATCGTACTTTAAAAAACTGCACTCGCCAACAAAAGGCCACACATGTTCAAACAAAGGGGACAGGTAGCCATTTGCTATTGCTATTACAGTGTGTTGGTCGCTTAGAGGTTGAACCACAACTGACAGCCAAACAGGTACTGTTTTCCTCGAACATATGTCACGCCATTTTTTCAACGAACCCCAAGTTTGAACCAGGCTGACAGTCGAGTGTGACTCATTGCTCTAACGAAGACATTGAAACCGTACGACGAGCACCTGAAATCAGGGGGTGCAATTTTCAGTCGAGGAAAGTCTCCTTTGTGTGCATGTTCACTGCACTGGCCTCTTGCGCATTGAATACTAGTACTGCCTTTGAACTTCCCCTACCGGCCCTGATTATGCGGTGCAGTTGCACCTCGCTTATCCGGCGCTCAGTCACTCGACACGCTAGTCATTGAACAGCACCCCGCTAGCTCCTACATTGTATTCTGACAGTCCCACCCGCAGGTAATTGTGGACAGTTAGCTGCATTCGATTGTGGAAACTGGATCCCGATCCCCGCCGACCAGATCACTTTGATCGGATGGATACAATCGAATGTGCACAACCGATAATCCGTTTCAAGGCCTAGCGTGTTGCTACAGCTCATCCCGTAGTATCTGTACGCATTATGGTGAACCCTTGACCTAGTGTACGCATATTGGGAGTTTTGAGTAGATACGAGTCGTACCATGGAAATGAATCCGTCGAATCCGTCTCTGGGAGGTGGGTTGACTGGATCCGAATCCGTGCTCTCGGGATCCGGATTCGTACAATCGAACATGTACGAATTTGGCGACTCCGAGGCCGGGGCTAACGGATTCGTACAATCGAACATGCCACTAGCATCATGAACGTTACCGTTATGTATGGATTATACCATGAGTACGAGGGGTATACCGCTGGGCACTAATTGCCCCGGCACAGTGTCTGACTTAGTGCGATGTTTAGTTTTGAACCTTGATCCTTGAGGGTGCTGGCGTTCCTACGGATACGGAAAACTCAGTGCAACTGAGTGTAACGTGAACCATGGGTTTTTTAAAGCATTTTTTTAGTCTTGAAATGCCCCTCACTGCCGTGCCTCTCTTTGTTTATCATGTTCTTCCTGCTCCCAGTTAATCCAGTTGCCACGAACAAGAGCAACATCAGTCCACCCATTTCACAGCATGAGCAGCAGTATCTAGATCAGGCCTATAACAGCACACCCCAGCAAGGCTACCCACTACACAACAACCAGCTCGCACAGACAAATCAAGAACAGCAGTTAGCGGCAGCGGCCATGCCAGGAACGCCGTCGCAGGTGCATCCGCACGACCAGCACGGTGCGCTAGCCGACGGCAGCCGTGTCAATCTGCCTCCGGAGCCACGCCGTGCAGTAGTCTACATGGATGACATGGAGGAGAGCATCTGCGAAACACCAAGGCCGCCTCCGCCACCACCCACATCGCTTCCACCGTCCACGTCACACTACCCCAACCAAGCACGTCCGAGGAACGGCGGCACACTACCGCGGGTCAACAGCACCAACACCAGTCGCTGGTCGCTGAACAGCTGGGGAGGCAGCAACACCCTGCCAGGCCATGGCAACGGGGGAAATGCCCATGGCAACGGACACGGGAATTATCCTGCCGACTTCTATGCGTTGCCTCCTGACGGCACGGCAAGCAGAAACAGTGTGTCCAAATTGTGAGTGATGAGGGAGAGCAACGCGTCCAAGGAAGAAGGCGAGTGACACGTGTCGACCAGCGTCTGTTCTTGCTGTGTGTGTGTGTGTGTGTGTGTGTGTGTGTGTACATGTACATAATTGTGTGTGTGTGTGTGTGTGTGTATGTATGTTTATGGTGTTGTATGTGTGTGTGTATGTATTCGTGCATGCGTGAGTGCATGCACACGCCAAGATATGACTAACTGTATAAGACTGTTGAAACCTGCGGTATCCTTTGCAGTGCATTTTAACTTGTCATCTGTTATCACTGGTGTTGCATAGATTGAGCAGTACCAGTACCTGTGTCATATTTGTCATGTGTGTTACATCAATCTCTGTTGATGACGACTGGTTAGATTTCACTTCACTGAGATCTCACACGTTTGTCTTCTGATAATCATTGAAATAAGGGGATGCGAAAAGGAAACGGACAACTAAAACTGTTCTGCGCTAGCTATATGCCAAATGTTTACTGTAAATGTGATCCGTTAGATTTCTCACCTGTTGTTGAGAGACATGAAATGTGCCGCATTGTATACATTTGTTTTTAAACCTTTTTTAATCAATGATATTGTGTGGCTAACATGATATACTCATTGCCTTTGACTCCGTGCCGTGAAAACCAATTGTTCTGTATCTGTTTGGTCCGGGTGCTGCGGTGACATTTGTGCTCATGAGATGTTTGAACAGCCTTCAATCTTGTCCTCTAATGGTGGGGCTCTTGGTGCTTGCCGCTGGATTATTCTGGATGTAGGAGACCGCAGTTCCCGGGAGAACGGAACATTGATTTTACTGCTTTCTTCTTCTGAGCAGGGAAAGAGAGACGGTGATGACAATGGCATGTATGCAATGCTTTTACATAGGTTGGCCGGCGTGAAAGACCACTACAGCCAGCAAGAGCACAGAATCCCCCCCCCCCCCCCCCCCCCGGACTGGAATCATAGTACAATAGGCACGTCGTGCAATGAAGTGGTTTGTACCACCAACACCCTACTCAGACACTTGGGTATGGTTGTCACGGTGGGATGTTGAACAGTGCATTGCTGATCCATTGTTGTGTGGTGTGTTGGACAGTGCATGCTGATCCATTGTTGTGTGGGGTGTTGAACAGTGCATGCTGATCCGAGAGTACTCGCGTGCATTACTGTAAAAAATTACTGATGCTATCAGTTTTGGCAATGCGCAATGAGCTCACTGGGATAAAAAAGAAGATACATGTATTGGGTGCTAGGCACTGGTGTGAAGATGCCCTCCACGTCACAGAGTGTTATCCGTAGCAGGCCAGATTCCACAGTGACTACCAGTACTTTGAATTGAATTCCCTCATCTAGTGAATCATTTGAAATCCATGTCTGTATTTTCGGGAAATTCACAGCCTGATGGTTTTCCAAATTTGGTGCCAGAAACCAGCCCAGGATGTGCATGTGAGCAACGTAAGTCGCCACACCGATTGTCTTTTCCCGTGCAACCAAGCACAATCCGCTTCTACATGTACTGCTGTTCACGAAACACTGCTCCTGTTGTCATTACTACAATACTGCTGACCAGAGCATCACCAGCCTGCAGGGGCTTGCTAAGCTGTATGCTCAGCCTCTATTCTCCTGGTTTCCGCGGGCCTGCTTGGCCATGTGATATGATGCTCTACATGCCAGTATGTCAGTGTCGCTTGGAATGCCCTTCCGGCCTACGGCTGACGTATGAACCTTAATGCCCAGTGCAAAGTTCCACGCTAGATGTCGTCTATGATATGGACTTGCCGAGATTTTATGCCCTATAGGCTATAGATGTTATTCGATCACGGTACGTCAGCTCAGATGCTTCGGCAAAGTCGCGACACAGCGCTGCAATGCATGCCAACTCACCTTAGCTACATACATAGCGCCCATAAGCGGTTCCGCTGCCCCACACTCGTGAGCATGATGACACCATTCGTATAACCTTTAAGTCAGTATGCACAACTGAGTTGAACTGACCCGTCAGCTTGTTTATGTTGTTAGCTCATCCTCTTCTGGCGCAGCCTTTCCAACAGGCTTCTATGTTCTGTGCTGTCAGCATTACATTGTACGTCATGTAAGTTAATTGTGCTCGCCTTTACCATGATGATCTTAGCCTGTTAATTAAAGGTAGTACCGTTGATTCCAGGTACTCGTGCATTGTTTGCTAAACATTGTTGCTGGCTATTCGCTACTACAGTGTACAGTGTACGTGTGTGGAGTAATGGGTAACCACCTGGATATACATGTAAGCAACAGTCATGGCCTAGGGAGGCACTACTACTGTACTAGTCACTGCAGTCTTGGTGCAGTACGTCATCTTGCGAGAGCTTCCGAAGTCTTTCCGGCCCGGCCCGCCTATGCATGACTTTATCAATGGTCATGTATAGGCATGGTCGGAAATGTTCATGGGACGTTTCGAGAAAAGTTCTTCAAACCTGGCTCGATGCAGACCAGATGCTACTACAAGACTGAAACCTGTACAATTGACAGAAGCTAATGGTAGAACTACAGTTACACTCTTTTAGAGAGTCGACCTGGTACACTTGGTTCAAATCGCGCACAACATTTGGGAGACTTGGTACGATCAAGCTCGGCTGGACTACAATGTATGTGCCCATATTTAGTTGCTATATCAACTGGGAACAAACACCTTCCCCAGCGAAGTTCGCCTACTCAACCCTCTCGGAGTGAATTCGCCATAGCAGCTGTGCCCTTCACGCTCGCTGGCTAGTTTCTGCAAACTCCGTGAGTTCGCACGCCTTCTACTTTGTATGTCGCTCGATCGCAAGTTCGTGTTCAGGACACGGTCGGTCTTTAACACATTGAGTCACTTTTTTATTTTTCAAATCCCACATGAACGCAGCGGTAAATATTCGTGTATGATGAAATTTGGATCAAGAAGTGCCGGCTCACGCCTCTACCGCCTTTCCGATCGTCATTTATTTTTCGAGAAGGTGAAGGAACGGCTAGGACCTTCCACTGAACGAGGATCAGAAGAAAAAATGTCAAGAAAGAATCAAAAGAGACGCACTGTCCACGGCGATATCCCCTCAGGGTCACGAGGCAAAATCGCAAAACGCTGGTTTTGGCCGCAGTGTGCAGGGCTTATATTCTTGACCGTTTTACATGACAAAATAAACCCTGGGGGTTGGATACGCTCGGGGATGCAGCGTAGGGCTAGTTGAACTCGGGGCGAGCTGAATAAACCTGCCTCGCTATGTAAACGCGCGCTCTAAAACGACTGGGCGACAGATCAAGGCTGGCTTATCATAAGCCCAGGGTTGAATAAGGCAGGGCTTATAAATATTTCTCATGTAAACGGCTCCTCACTCTAAACAGTAGCCGGTACATCAACACTTTGCTCCATATCAGACAGATGTGCGTAATTTATAGAGAGGACAGAGATATTTCTGAATCTTAAATTTTGAACGTCACCTCCTTGCATTCTCTTATAACCCTGCTTCTACATGTACACGTATGATGTTTACATGCACGCACAATACAGATTCGCTCTCATGTAATTGGGCTTGCTGCCCGTTTGATTCTGCGAATTAAAATAGAACAACAACAATAACAGCAACGTGCACTAGACGGCTGGACGCCAAAGAGGAATGCACACGTACATGTACATGTACATCACATCAAGGAAGAGAGGACGACCAGCGATCAAAAGGACGACCAGCGATCAAAAGGACGACCAGCGATCAAAAGGACGAACAACGTTCTGGAAGGCAAATGGAGCAGAAATGCTAACACAAGTCAAGCGCTGTCCAGAGACAGGGACGGAATGGCGTGGCATTGTTGCCACAGCAACCCGAATGGGTTCATGATGATGACCAATACCGATGAAGCGTATTTTTGCGAGTCACGGAACGCAACTCACATTATTATTATTGAAGAACATTGCATGGAAGGTAAAATGCAACGCTAGAACTGTGTAGTGAGACACACAATCCTGCTGTGCACCTACGAATAAAATGTGGTAAGGAATGAGGACCCTACTAAAATACTCTCAAAACACTCTTCTGAGACTCGGGTGGAGAGCCAAGGATTCATTACAAGAAGAAGTAAAGACCAAGGAACTACAAGTTACGCTATAAGGTCCACTAACACCAACAGTTACTTTACAATCAACAGTACTGTTTCTACTGGTGCAATGTTATCGCATGAGCTGATTGTAAAGGAACTGGTGGTGTTAGTGGACATTATAGTGTAACTTGTAGTTCCTTGGTCCCCCTTTCTTCTTATTAATACTCCTGTGACTCATGGTTTCAAGGAGGGCACACCTACTGGGTACACGGATCACACTGTCACAAACAAAACAAACTGAATACATAATGAGCTCTATTCGCACTATCCTTGCCCGTGTGGCTTGCAGACTCTGCAGCGGTCGTCGTCCAGGGTGGCAGGGTCACGCGCCACACCACATACACGTACAATGTACACACTGCACAGGCTTAGCTGGCAGTGTGTCACTACGGGATGCAATCAGGGGTACACTGGGGGTCGATGTGATGACGTAGCGGTACTGAACTGGCTGGGTCAGGTGTGATGCAGCAATCGGCAAAGCCAAGATCAACCCAGGACCAAGGGAATATTCCTCCTGTGACAAGGTATAACTTGTATAGATGGCTGTTAACTACAAAAGCAAGAAATGCAGCCAGGTCAAACCATTGAGAAGCATTACAAAATTGATAGTGCCCCAATTGATAAGAAAGGCGATTTCGAAGGTCAAGGAAGAAACGGACAAGGAGTCAATTTTGCAGATGGCGACGGTAATGGGATCACAAGCCAGTTCGACTACGCCAGTAGTGCAGTCTGCACCACCGTTCATGCTCTACCCCGGACCGGCCATGGTGATTTTCTCCACACTGCTGAACGCCACGATGTTCATCGACAAGGAAGGAGAGCTGCGCGTCAATCCCCGATGCGGCCGACACCGGAGCATAGAGTCGGTGCGACTACATTGCAGTACTCTGAACGGACCCGACCAGCGCTGTAATATCGTCTCCCGTCACGGCCGACATTTGCTGGCAGTACGCAGAGATAGCGGTATGCTAAGCACAGTATCAATTTCGGACCACAATCGAGGCCTCGGCGTTAAGCTTTGTACAGAATTTCAATTCAGCACTCGTTCCGGATCAGGCTTCGGCAAAGCGATGAAACTGTCCGGCTGCATGCCTGTAAGCAATAACTGGGTGGTACGAATGTCCTCATCGCCCGCAACACCTGACAGGGATGAATGTTACCGAGACGTAGGTCCGTTCTATCAAAGTGCCATTCGCAGCAATGCTGCAGATCAGTCGGATTACTCGTTTCAGGTGCGGACCCTGGGAGAATTGGACGTTCATACGTGCTCATCAAGCTTTCAGCCCACGCCGAGCTGCCGGAACAGTCTCAGAAAATCTTATCCGTTGATGTGGGATCGCGAATGAGGGCAGGAGCCTGCTGATTGTTTCTCAATCCGTACCATCAATGGCTACACAATAGAGGACCATATCTGTGGACACGAGGGAAAATAATGTGCTTGCCCTAGCCGCCCGGAGTCGAAGATTGAGTAGTTGTAGGGTGAAACAAACTCGGTGATTCCCGATACTAGTAGTTGATATTTCAGGCCCATTGATGTGTAC